GCATAGTCACCTCTTATTACAAGTATAGGTTGCAGAAGACCTAGTCTACCCCTGTTCTTCAAGGGGCTTTATTGAAGTGTTTATGCCATGTTTGTGTGCCTCTACATTCGTATTCTCTGAAATAGAAATCTGAGTCCCTTTGTTTCTTTGTGATGTGAGTATATTAGTAAAATATGCAGTTGTTTTAGATAGTTAATGTACATTCGTTTTCCATCAACCATAATAGTTTCTCTTAGGTCTTCAGCAACCCATGCTTGCCGTAAAAGGCGACTATGCTTATCATAAGAGATAACTAATGGCTTGGTTGATGCATATCATCATATCCCAATTGCGTAAGTCAATTTTTTACAGACCGCCGTCATATAGGTGGAATATTGCTGAGTGAGGTGTTAAACAACAAACTGAGTAAATAGACCTGTAAGCATTATGAAAAATAGGCCATTGTAGGTGGTTCAAGTAATAATTTTGTAAGACTGACAATGATAACATATGATACATATTCACATTCTTTTTCCATAAACCGATATAGTTTTATTGCTGCATCTTAAATCTAATTGACTATATAATCGAAAGGGTGCACGGGAATCACACATACATGAATACAGTGTTAGCGATGGGCGTCTCAACGTGCGTGATTCCTTTGCACCCTGTTGAAATGATTGGTTCAACTGTGTCATATGGCCCTGTAACGCAGGGGTAGCATTATGCAGATGGCTGTTTGAAAGAATGCTCGTTCCACCCGTGACGAAACAGGTCTGGTTGTTGATGAAATATAGTGATAGCTAAATAGACAGATTTTTTATTCATGCACCGATTGTCTTTAAATGTAATATCCAGTTATGTATGACTGTTTAATAATCTCATACCAACTTTGACTGGAGTAGGTCCGATAGTTTTTCAGATATTGTAGTAAATGTTGGTACCTTAAATTACCTTCCAGACTGTTGGCATTATGAAAAATATGCCATTGTTTAAGGTGGGGAACAGGGTTAACGTGGTGATTGTGCATCTGTAATTACCAAGGCTGACAATGATACCTCACATGCCCAGTAATTACACTGCTCTTAGTCAACAAAAAGATGTGGAAAATGATAAGGACAGAACAGGAAGATGATAGGATGCTATTTTTGATCTTGCAGCTTGAGTGCTGTAATGTGCACCATCTTTTCTCCCTGCATCCATTAGCAGCTCCAACAACGACACCGATGTCGACTACTCCCTCTCTCTTCATTCATGGCCAGCATCTACACATGTGATGGAGGCTATATATAGTGTGTATTGCTGCGGTAATGACACACGCCTTCTTTAATCGTGTAGGACTGAACCGTTCCAGGTGCACATGGTCCTCTTCAGACCCATTTGAAAAATGTCAGATAACGATGGTTAACGAAAACATTTCGTAACAACTTGTTTTTAGTTGCTTTGATGCTGGCGATTCAATCAGGGCTGTAGTTTAGCTACTAGGAGTTTGTTGATGTCCAGAAGAACATTTAAATGATCAAAACTCACATCAACGACACTTCTATGACGTTTTATTGCATTGTTGGAAGGAGAAGCGAATCGGATTCTATAAACATTTCTATTTTCGTACTCAAGGTATTTCTCACTCCGAAGGGCTGCAAAATTGCTGATTCAGCTTTAAGAAATATTCACTCACTTACTCTGAGTGATATGTTTTCGGAATAGAATATAGAATAATGTTTGAAGGTCATTCAAACAAAGATTAATCTATCAGAATGTCACACTTTGCCATTTTGCCTGGCATCTTAAAACTGTCAGATTTTTTAGCAAATTGATCGATGTTGTTCATGTTAACTGTCAGGACAATGTTTTTGTAAATAATGTATTTGAAAACTGCATTTGCCCATCATATATAGGTCGAAACAATTTGAATGATTAGAAAAAGAGAAAGAGAAATGAATTAACAGAATAGTTTTAAAAATGTATCGAGAACTTTTGATAAACAATCATTGGCCAAAAAGATTATAATAACCTGTATTTATAAGTGGATGACTAATCATCTCCTTGATTGTTGGGGCTTGGTTAACTCTTCTCTGGTGACAATGAGTTACGTAGGATCATCACGACAATGCTCCAGCACACACATCACTGATAGCAATGGCCAAAATCCATGAGTGTGGCTTTGAACTTCTCCAACATCCACCTTATTCCCCTGATTTGGCTCCGTCGGACTATAATCTGTTCCCACAGTTGAAAAGGCATGTGTTGACCTTAAAGGGGACTATGTCGAAAAATAAAAAGCTTTGGTATCAAACTGACTTTGTTTTTTTTGTTAGGCTTGGAACTTATCAATCGCCCCTCGTATGTCAATAGCAGGGTGTATGAGATTTAAAGAGCTGAATGGGCATGTACACCACTGGACTGAAGTTTGAGTTGAGTCCTTTGGGGATGCTAGAAATCTACGATCATTGGTTTGAATCCCAGACTCTCCCTGATAAAATATGTTTCTTGGTCTGTCATTGCCATACCTGTGCTTGTGGTTTTCACCAAAGTGGTGAGTGTCTAGGACCTGCATCGTCTTGGACTTTCCTCCCACATTAAGCTGACATGCTGATATTGATAAGGACTGGTGGAAGTGGTTCTCACTCACTCACTCACGCAGCACGCTCGCTCACTCACTCACTCACTCACTCACTCACTCACTCACTCTATCACTCTCCCACCCATACGCCCTCCCGCCCACTCACTCACTCTCACTTACTGGCATTCACTCACTCACTCACTCACTCACTCACTCACTCACTCACTCACTCACTCACCCACCCACCCATACACCCGCCCGCTCACTAACTCACTTGCTTACTCACTCACTCTCCCACCCATACGCCCTCCCGCCCACTCACTCGCTCGCTCACCAGTACCCCATGCTTGTCACAAAAATGAGGTTCCAAATGATTGTCAAGATGCTTTGATTGGATGGATGTATTGTATCTTTCAGCACTTGTTTAATATACAGCATATCGATATATATAGCTGCAATACTGCTGACAGTGGCGGAGAACATTCTCTCACACCCAACACCCAGTAGAAATATATCATTTACATATGGAATTGCTCATGTAAAGATTATCTGTAGTCCATGCAAAGCAAAATCTTTACCCAGTGCAAAAGGGTTGCTCTCGACCTTTACGCAGAGCCTTAAACTGATGAACAATCGAGAGTTTAGAGAATTATTATCGTCTAATAAGAGGATGGACAAGATAAGAAAGGAATCGAAGACTGTCCCGGACATACATCAGCTTCCATGATAGGAAAATCAATAAGCTTGAACAATGAAGTATTGCTTGAAACAGCCCTCTGGGGGAACACCATAGATCTACTGCAAACCTGTGATTCTCATTTGGAGTAGATTTCTTTGGCAGCTATGGATATTTCAAATTCTAGTAAATACTCAACGTCATGTTTTTAGAATGAACAACATGGGCAATAAACTGGAAACAGATTTAACGAACATCCCACATCCACTTATCCCTTAAAGGGGAAGTGTACACGCAAAAATCACTTTCTTTCTTTTTCTAAACAAAACGCAATTTTAGAATTAATTAGTATCTGTGTTTGAAAATATACACTCATTTTTTTCACAGTGAACGTAGGAAGCTCACAATAGTGTGAAAATGATATGCCGTTATGAGGCCTTCGTTTTTCGAGCTAAACAGGCCTGAGTTATCCCCCTTAGATTATGACGTAATTGGTGCCAATTCAACTGGGTCCCTGTCTATTCTCAACGCAAAAGATATCAAGTACCATTTTGCGGTAAAACAACATGGCCTACGACACACTCCGGCGCAGTGGTGACTCAGCATAACACTATGCTGGCTGGCATCTGAGACGCTAGAATCACACATCTGGACCTACACCACGTGAAGCGGCTCTAACAAAGCAGGATGACGTCATAATGTTTATCAATTGGCACCAATGACGTCATATTGCAAGGGGCATAAGCCATGGTGTTTTTGTTGTGGAAATAGAACACTTGGTAAATGTGAAAAATATAAATCGTTTTAATGCGACAAATATGTTAATTAATTGTGATATTTTTATATTTTTGTCTATGACACTTCTATGTTAACACTTTTAATGTGGAAAAAGTACAAGAAAAATAGGTTCATTTCCGTGTGAACTTGCCCTTTAAATTGTTTGTTTTATATCATCTTGTCACCACTTGCCATTAGACACTGGAAGATAGAGTAAACCTCCGTTTAATGAATATTTATTCGATTGTGTGATAGTCATGACTTTGAAGATGACTTCCACTATATTTTAAGATATAAATAATTTAATAAACAAATGGGAATGTACATTCCAAACCACAATTCAAAAAGACAAAATATTGAGTTACACTGTTAACCTGACTGATCGCTGTGTTACACATATAACAACATTCGCTCACTCCAGGCTTCATCAAGTACTGTATTTATTGTAATAAGTGTTCCTGGTGCCTGGAAAGTTTACAGATGGCTGCTTATTAAAACTATACACAAGAAGGTTGAAGAAACTGGAGCTTTTTCAATAGCAGTTAGTTAGCAGTTGTATATATGCATTCTACACTGCTGTTTTCTGTAAAAATTATGTAATATGCACAAGAAAATGTCGACTGTCATGTTAATTTTCAGAGTTCGTACAGGGTGGTCAGGGGGCGCTTATTGGAGTGGGGTTCTTCATACAGCGAAAATGACCTGTATACTTGTATGTTTGTGTTTTACAGTGATATCACTGTGCAGAGTTGGGTCCATTGGGCACGCCAGAAACCTATGATTGTGGGTTCGAATCCCGGTTCACCCCAATTATGTTTCTAGGTTTGTCAGCACCATACCCGTGCTCGTGGGTTTCACCGAAGTGGTAAACGTCTGAGACCTGCATCACTTCGGGCTTTCCTCCGACATTAAGCTGACATGCCGCAATATAAGTGGAATACCGTTAAAAGCGGCGTAAAACCCAACTCACTCACTCACTACATTGATGTCTTTCTTGTGTTTCAGAAATACATGGTCCCACTAAAGACACAGAGTAGCCTAGATGATACAATAGTGGACAATATATTCTACATGATACCCGAGATTCTCACACATCACTCTATATATCTGGACTTCCTGGACAACGTGTGGAAGCACTGGGACACAGCCACCAGCACAGTGGGGAACATCATCACATTTATTGTACGTAGTTGGATATGCAATGAATATGCCATCTCTATAAAAATAAAGTTCTCTTGTCCATACAGGAACTGTCTTCTGAAACTGCATCATTCCATGGATGACTTTGTAGTGTTAGTTTAAGACTTAAAGGATGCAAGACGAGTGTCACAAGATTGTTATTCTGTGACTAGCTCCCATACACCGACCATAGTTATAGAACTAATGGGGGCACGGGTGGCCCAGTCGTCTAAGGCGCCAGAAACCTATGATTGTGGGTTCGAATCCTGGTTCACCCCAATTATGTTTCTAGGTTTGTCAGCACCATACCCGTGCTCGTGGGTTTCACCGAAGTGGTAAACGTCTTAGACCTGTATCACTTCAGGCTTTCCTCCTACATTAAGCTGACACGCCGTGATATAACTGGAATAATGTTAAAAGCGGCGTTAAACCCAACTCACTCACTGTACAACTAAGATTGTCTTGTTCAAGTGTGCAGAGGACTTCTGGCATGTCTGAGAGGGGTGACGAGGTTGCCCAGCGATAGAACTAACAGTTTAAATCTACTAGTCCTTATAACGATAACATATAGCAAAACCTGTCAAAAGAGCAAATTTCTATAGTCCTTATGATACCTTAACCAGACCCTTGAAGATCCGGGATAGACTAGGTCTTCAGCAACCCATGCTTGTCGTAAAAGGCGACTATGCTTGTCGTAAGAGGCGACTAACGGGATCGGGCGGTTTGATGCTCATGATTTTAATCACTGGATTGTCTGGTCCAGACTCGATTATTTACAGACCGCTGTCATACAGCTGGAATATTGCTGAGTGCGGCGTTAAACAACAAACAAACATTGGGCAGTTTGGAAAGGATTACAGGACTAGTGCCAATTTCTAACGCTGTTGCCTTGTGCTGACGACATTGGCTCATCATGTGAGGCTCGTCACGCTGAAGGCTCATTTGCGATCACCAACATGAGTCTTATGTGTGAAGCCGTGCAGCCTTGATGTTGCTGGAATATTGCTGGAAAATTGCTAAAAGTGGTGCAAAACCTTAATTGTCTCACTGCAAGCACCGTGATGATAAATGTCAGCGACTTGTCATACAATGTGCAGTCCATCAATATAGCTACCCATCCAGCATGGATATCAAAGTAATATCGACCAACCCATCTCTGTCCAGACATATTGTCAGAAACATAGTTATATTTTGCCACATTCTTACATTTTGTTCATTGAAATTTGCTAATAAAATGACATGGTGTTATTTCAGTTTTCAAAACAGACTGTGTTAGAGAGCTATTTATCATTTGTGGAGAACTACCGGTTGTCTGGGAAGGTTATAGAGAACGCCCTCACCAACAAGTCCTCTGTACAGAAGTTTGTAGAGGTAAGTATGTCAACAAGTCCACATCGTTGTCTGGGAGGAAGCAGAGGGCTGTGCTCTATGACACCCATTTCCAGTATGGGTTTGCCCCCATTGGGATTCTTGGATGGAATCGGTGACCAATAACCTATGCTTGTCCTTAGGGCAACTAAAAATTGATTGAGTGGTCACTGGTTGATAGTAATAAAAATAACAAGAACAACAAGAACAATAATAATAATAATGTTGGGGAGTCTTCACATTTTCTGAAAAGTTCTAGGTGGGTTTGACAAGGCAGCGCTTCCTGGGAGAAGTCCCATTCGCTGTCTGGGCTGCGTGTAGAGGGGGCAAGGGCCCTGAGCTGATGATGAGCCTAACCAGCCTCACTGTGCCAGGATCACCCAAACCCTCTTTGCTGCATTTTTTATTTTAATCTGTAAATAATAATAATAGGCTATTTATATTGTGCATATTTCCATACCACTCAGGGACATGCTCAAAGCGCTATTATTACCCCGATCACTGGATCAATGTGCACTCAATCATTCTCAGCTTCCTGGGGAGTATACAACCCTTGCTGCCTGTTAGGTGCTAGAAGGTTGATTATGTGTCATAGTATTCCGATTGCATGGCACAGGGATATCAACATCAAGGTTGTCTTGTTCAGACCTGATCACCTACAGGTTGTCTTGTTCAGACCTGATCACCTACAGGTTGTCTTGTTCAGACCTGATCACCTACAGGTTGTCTTGTTCAGACCTGATCACCTACAGGTTGTCTTGTTCAGACCTGATCACCTACAGGTTGTCTTGTTCAGACCTGATCACCTACAGGTTGTCTTGTTCAGACCTGATCACCTACAGGTTGTCTTGTTCAGACCTGATCACCTACAGGTTGTCTTGTTCAGACCTGATCACCTACAGGTTGTCTTGTTCAGACCTGATCACCTACAGGTTGTCATGTTCAGACCTGATCACCTACAGGTTGTCTTGTTCAGACCTGATCACCTACAGGTTGTCTTGTTCAGACCTGATCACCTACAGGTTGTCTTGTTCAGACCTGATCACCTACAGGTTGTCATGTTCAGACCTGATCACCTACAGGTTGTCTTGTTCAGACCTGATCACCTACAGGTTGTCTTGTTCAGACCTGATCACCTACAGGTTGTCTTGTTCAGACCTGATCACCTACAGGTTGTCTTGTTCAGACCTGATCACTTACAACACGGTTGTCTTGTTCAGACCTGATCACCTACAGGTTGTCTTGTTCAGACCTGATCACCTACAGGTTGTCTTGTTCAGACCTGATCACCTACAGGTTGTCTTGTTCAGACCTGATCACCTACAGGTTGTCATGTTCAGACCTGATCACCTACAGGTTGTCTTGTTCAGACCTGATCACCTACAGGTTGTCTTGTTCAGACCTGATCACCTACAGGTTGTCTTGTTCAGACCTGATCACTTACAACACGGTTGTCTTGTTCAGACCTGATCACCTACAGGTTGTCTTGTTCAGACCTGATCACCTACAGGTTGTCTTGTTCAGACCTGATCACCTACAGGTTGTCATGCTGGAGTGCTGGGACTACAACTACTACACGAACTAGACATTGGGATTATTGTGGAGCTGTGACACTTATGTTGGTCAACCTTTTCCTGCTAGATTGATATACATACAAATGTTTCAGTCAGCAGGCAAAACCTGTTGAGATTCTGGATTAGGAATGCTCCCCAGTAACCTATGCTTGTAGTAAAAGATGACTTAACATTTAAAAGACGATCAGTTGTCAGATTCATGACTTGGATGATTATGTTCTAGAAAATGTTAATACCGAAAATTTCATGAACTATGAATGACATCATGATGTATTGTTTGCATTGCAGAAATATGTATCCACTTTCTATTTGGAGAACATTATGACTATTCACTTATTCAATCAACTGATGGGGGGAAAAAACCAAATGGCTGCAATATTTCAGAGGAATGTTTACTTGTGTGTTTAGGATAAACATATCATATCAACAAATTTTACACTGAAATATCTGGTATTGAATCATCATCTTTAGGATAACAATGTAGAGAAAAAGTTAGGGATAACAACTTCTTTATTTACTGTAAAGGCGATGATTCGGTATGGATATAGATGTACCAAAACGTCGCCTTTACAGTTTATAAAGAAGTTGATAACGATAAATTGTCTCAACTTTGTCATACGTCAACTTCTAAGTAATGCCTATCAAACAATTCATCTTCAGGATACATACAAGATCTATCTAATACATTCTACCCTTTCTAACCATTGCTTTACTTCCTGTCATGAGTATATGAACATGGGAACCCTACATTTCAAACATGGGCCCTACACACCATGGCTGTGTGTTCATTGTCCCGGCTGAGTAAACCCTCATTAGATCAAATCCTGTCAACGTCTGTGAGTTTGTTGTTGCAAAGGATTACCGTGCTGTGATGTTATTGTTTGCGCTGATGTTTGTGATGTTGATGTTGTTTGTATTCCTTGCAGCAATGTCAGCGAGACAGTGGCAGCAAGCTGTCGATGAAGGACCTTATTGTCCGTCCCATCCAGAGGATTCCGCGTTATGAACTGCTTATACAGGTAAGCCATCACCACCTCTATCACCATTCTGTATGTAATGTCTGTAGTCGTCAACATGTGGACGTACGATGAGCTTCGGTGTCAGTTTGGTTACATGACACACTGTTCAGTGTCTTACTGAACAAGATGTGTGTGTCTCCGTGGGATGTATCTAACTGACTGATGTCATTGACTCAATCAATACACAGATTGAGTGTCCGACAATGGATAAAGTGAAAACTCAATTTTCATTTATCATTGACATTTTCATGTTAATTAACATATCTACTGAGGGTACTACAGCTAAAGAGAATTTTTACTCAGATTAAAAGGTAGAAATGTTTTCTTGGGTATGACAGGAAACTTTGTGAAGACAGATTTGACGTATGGATATCTCTTGCCTGATAAAGTTACTTGCATCTTCGTCTGCATTGCATTGAAAGAGTATGATGTTGAAATCCATGAATCCAGTACATGAGACTTAAAGTTAGTCAAGGTCTTGTGCAGCTAACTTATTTATTATTTTGGACAAATGTTTCTATTACCAATAATTACTAAATATTAAATTATGGTTTACTGTTTGGCTAGGAACAGTATAAGACCAAAAAGACTTTGCACAAGTATTTTGTGTGTATTTTTCTTGTCAAATTAATGCTTGTTGTAATGTAATGAGTAACTGACAAGTGTGTGAAGTATATGACAGTTTAGACCGGGGACATAGTAGAAGCAAGACCAGAATTGTTGACACACTGTTTACTCAGTAAACACCACTCATCGATTCCCTTGCTGGCTGCCATTTTGTCTTTGTGTCTACTGATATCTTCAAATAGTGCAACATTGTGCAGAACGAGACTCACTTCTTCAAAACTTCACCTGAAAGAGCATGTAAATGTCACAATTTTGAGATGTTGCACTCATGAGTGGTCTGCCCTCATTGAGACCAGGATCTGTTTACATTATGAAATCCTACCATTGTAAATAAACTGGAAATGTAACCGACGGAATGTGGAAGTGTTTCACATTCACACACCAAGTGTTTACTGGCCACGTAACAAGGAAATGTTTACTGAAAGAGATTTCAAATAAAATTGGAAATGAGTACGAGTTTTGGGTTATTGAAAATAAGGAATGTTTGAACTTTTCCTTCAGCTATCCCACAGTGTTCCTAGTGTTAACAGTATTTCCAACTATCACAACAGTGTCACAGTCATGAATGCAGAGAGTTTACAGATTGTAAGCTTGGATTGAGAACAGGCGTGATATATATAGGTGATATTCTCACTATTTATTAACTGTACTGTGTCAGTGTGGATTCTCCATCCTTTTCTAAGCAATCAATAAGCTGTAATTATTTATTTAATGCAGCTTGGGCTGTGATGATTCTCTGAAGCTTCAGTGCATCAAAATATGCTCCGTCCTACCTGTGTCAGGATAGTCTTGTATCGTAAGGTCAGGGCATTTAAAAAACAATGTTGGACATCAAGAACATGGTTTTTGTTTAAAAAAAGAAATGGTCCTTTTGAGTATGTGACAGAGTGTCTTCAGGCCATTGTTTGTTTAGTTGCTTCCTAACAGGCTCTAGGGACCTGGTCGCGTAAGGCACCGCAGTTGCAGTGCAGAGTTATGTTCCTTTGTTGTATCAGGATCCGATGAATTGGGTTCAAAGCTCTGATATGCCCAGATCATGAATTTAGGTGTGCCATTATCATACCCATGTTCCTGGGTTTAGTGGAAGTGGAAAACACTTTTGACCTTATATTTTGGACATCTTGTCAGGCTTTTCTAACTAGATCACCTATCATTCCATGATGTATATCCGAAATGCTCTTTAGAGCAACAATGAAGTCAACTCACTCACTTCTAACATGGCAAATGTTCAGGTTGAAGGTACTGTATCGTGTAACATGCAGACTTACTATGGAAATATATATAATAGTTTCCTCCAGTTGCCTACTTGATACTTCGGCTAGCATGACCAAGTTTCATGTGTGCAGTCAAATCTGAGCTTCGGACATCACGTTTCACTTTCTGTCTCAAGTTTCACAGTCGACCTCGAGTGCAGGAAATGAAGTTCTGAAGGTCAACAACGTCACGCCGAACACCCGGGTTCGATTCCCGACATGGGTACAATGTGTGAAGCCCATTTCTGGTGTCCCCCGCCGTGATATTGCTGGAATATTGCTAAAAGCGGCGTAAAACCATACTCAGTCAGTCAGTCAGTCTGAAGGTCAACATCAAGTATTATGTGAAGTAGGTCTGGGACGAGTCCAAATTTACTACCCGACCTGAGTACCCGAGTTACCCGTCCCAGTCCTATTGTGAATTTGGTTAATTTACAGTGTTGTTGAAAAGGCTTATTCTGTTAGCAAGGAAGCGATATTTTCATGTTTTGGCAGCCATCTTGAATATTTCAAAATGCCCAAAGATGACAGAGTATCATCAGTCAGTTTCATAATCTAGAGTACATCATTAAACAAATCCAGCAATAAAAAAAACTTTATCCCCTAATTCTGGGTTGGGGGAAAATATTCATTTCTCTGCCGGACTATATCCTATTGTTTAGGATGGCGTGAATTCCGTTGACGTATGTTTCTACACAATATTCATTTAACAGGAGATGGTCCCCTGCATTGGTCCTCTACTGTGGGTCTGAGTTCATCTATATTAAGTATAGGCAAAATGAGCTTCGGTGACTGAATTTTCAGCTATGGTCATGCTTTAGTTGAATGCAACAGGATGTAGGGTCATCCCACAGATTACAAACAGGAAATCATGAAATTAATGTGAAAAATGTGAGTATCCCAAGCTCACATTAATAAAACTGATTGCGCTAACTCATGTAACAATCTGTCCAATCGTGATTGGTGACCCGACCTATCTCATTTGAGCATGCGTTATGTGGAATTTCTTGCTTTTGATGTCATTGAAGTAAGATCACATGTCAAGCAGTTGAAGTTACGTTTGTGAAGATAGCAAATGATAATATTCTTTCGATGAAATGCTGTCTTGCCTGTCTCTATGATGAAATTATATGTCTTCGGTCTTGATTTGAATCACATATTGCCTTGGTTATGACTCTAGGTTTGTCAGCACAAAATACTTTATTTCATGGTTTCACTAAAGTGAGTGTCACACATGTTCATGGTTTCACTAAAGTGAGTGTTACACATGTTCATGGTTTCAAAGAGGCTGGACCCTGTGAGCTGGGTTAAAGTGTCCGCTGTTCACACCAATGACTCAAGTATGATTCCCCACATTGACCATTACAATAAATGTGTGAGACCCATTTTTGTGTCCACCTGCAGTGATATGGTTGGAGTACTGCTAAAAGAGGCATAACACCTAACTCAGTAGCTCATGATGATGACAAACACTAACAGTGATGGGTGTGTTTCACGTTTGTTCCTCTGTTCTCAGCGCCTTCTGGAGAACACTCCGCGTGACCACCCTGACTTCCCCCTGCTCCAGCAGGCGGACAAAGTGATGCATGATCTGGCCATGCGCATCGGCAACCTCAACGACAGTCAGCATGAAGAAGACATGCAGGAATCTCTGAAGAAGCTGGAGCTCCTCCTCATTACTGATGTACGTGGGGATGTGTTGGTTCAGCCGGGGATTGGTGGGTCAGTCGGGGGTTGGTGGGACAGTGGGGGATGTGTTGGTTCAGTCGGGGATTGGTGAGTCAGGGGGGGATGTGTTTGTTCAGTCGGGGATTGATGGGTCAATCGGGGATGTGTTGGTTCAGTTGGGGATTGTTGGGTCAGTGGGGGATGTGTTGGTTCAGTCAGGGGTTGGTGAGTCAGGGGGGGATGTGTTGGTTCAGTCGGGGATTGATGGGTCAGTGGGGGATGTGTTAGTTCAGTCAGGGGTTGGTGAGTCAGGGGGGGATGTGTTGGTTCAGTCGGGGGTTGGTGGGTCGGGGGGGGGATGTGTTGGTTCAGTTGGGGATTGATGGGTCAATGGGGGATGTGTTGGTTCAGTGAGGGGTTGGTGAGTCAGGGGGGGATGTGTTGGTTCAGTCGGGGGTTGGTGGGTCAGTGGGGGATGTGTTGGTTCAGTCGGGGATTGATGGGTCAATGGGGGATGTGTTGGTTCAGTCAGGGATTGACTGGTCAGTGGGGGATGTGTTGGTTCACTCGGGGATTGACGGGGGATGTGTTGGTTCAGTGAGGGGTTGGTGAGTCAGTGGGGGATATGTTGGTTCAGTCAGGGGTTGGTGGGTCAGTGGGGGATGTGTTGGTTCAGTCAGGGATTGGTGGGTCGGGGGGGGTGGGGATGTGTTGGTTCAGTCGGGGATTGGTGGGTTGGGGGGGATGTGTTGGTTCAGTTGGGGATTGGTGGTGTCAGACACAGAGTGATGGGAGTCATTAAGGGATGTGTTGGTTCCATCAGGGGTTAGGCGGAGTCTAAGGTTGTAGTATTGGGGAAGTTTTCGGGGCATGGCTCATTGTAAGAGGATGCACAGGGGCAGGACTTGGAAACATTGCTTGTTGTTGTTGTTCTACTATATAGATGATGTAAATAACAGTCTCGGTGTTTTGTTTCCAGCTGGCAGTCCCAGACAGGACCTACATCCGACATGACATGGTGCAGATAATTGTGAGTTGGCCAGACAGTCCTCCAGTTGCATTATGTCTATTCAAATGTCAGTAAATTACAAGAATTTTAAAATTTATGAATTATTTTTACACTCATTTGATAAATTTTAGATAGTCCTTACTGCCAGTATTCTGACATAATTAAAGAAAACTCAAAAGTGCTAGAATTTATTTGCAACTCTCAGTGTTGAGAAGAGCTTCCCCTTTGCCATGATCTGCTGGTTAAAGATTCCACCTCCATTGATGTTTTCTGGCTTGTTAGCACCATACCCTTGTTAGCACCATACCCTTGTTAGCACCATACCCTTGTGAGCACCATACCCTTGTTAGCATCATACCCATGTTAGCACTATATCCTTGTTAGCACCATACCCTTGTGAGCACCATACCCTTGTTAGCACCATACCCATGTTAGCACCATACCCTTGTTAGCACCATACCTTTGTGAACACCATACCCATGTTAGCACCATACCCTTGTTAGCATCATACCCTTGTAAGCACCATACCCTTGTTAGCACCATACCCTTGTTAGCACCATACCCTTGTTAGCACCATACCCTTGTGAGCACCATACCCTTGTGAGCACCATACCCTTGTTAGCACCATACCCATGTTAGCACAATACCCTTGTTTGCACCATACCTTTGTGAACACCATACCCATGTTAGCACCATACCCTTGTTAGCATCATACCCTTGTTAGCACCATACCCTTGTTAGCACCATACCCTTGTGAGCACCATACCCTTGTTAGCACCATACCCATGTTAGCACCATACCCTTGTTAGCACCATACCTTTGTGAACACCTCACCCTTGTTAGCACCATACCTTTGTGAACACCATACCCCTATGAACACCATACCCTTGTTAGCACCATACCCTTGTTAGCACCATACCCTTGTGAGCACCATACCCTTGTTAGCACCATACCCATGTTCGCACCATACCCTTGTTAGCACCATAGCACCATACCCTTGTTAGCACCATACCCTTGTTAGCACCATAGCACCATACCCTTGTTAGCACCATACCCTTGTTAGCACCGTACCCTTGTTTGCACCATACCCATGTTCGCACCATACCCTTGTTAGCACCTTACCCTTGTTAGCACCATACCCATGTTCGCACCATACCCTTGTTAGCACCATAGCACCATACCCATGTTCGCACCATACCCTTGTTAGCACCATAGCACCATACCCTTGTTAGCACCATACCCTTGTTAGCACCATACCATGTTCGCACCATACCCTTGTTAGCACCATACCCTTGTTAGCACCATACCCTTGTTAGCACCATACCCATGTTAGCACCATACCCTTGTTAGCACCATACCTTTGTGAACACCATACCCCTATGAACACCATACCCTTGTTAGCACCATACCCTTGTTAGCACCATACCCTTGTTAGCACCATACCCTTGTGAGCACCATACCCTTGTTAGCACCATACCCATGTTCGCACCATACCCTTGTTAGCACCATAGCACCATACCCTTGTTAGCACCATACCCTTGTTAGCACCATAGCACCATACCCTTGTTAGCACCATACCCTTGTTAGCACCATACCCTTGTTAGCACCATACCCATGTTCGCACCATACCCTTGTTAGCACCATACCCTTGTTAGCACCATACCCATGTTCGCACCATACCCTTGTTAGCACCATAGCACCATACCCATGTTCGCACCATACCCTTGTTAGCACCATAGCACCATACCCTTGTTAGCACCATACCCTTGTTAGCACCATACCATGTTCGCACCATACCCTTGTTAGCACCATACCCTTGTTAGCACCATACCCTTGTTAGTGAGTCAACAACCTCTTGCTTCCACATTCAGCGGACTCGCTGAAACACTATCCAAAGCAGCATTGATCCTAACTCACTCACTCACTGACCCTTGAATGCCCCATGTGTTCCAGGCCAAGAAGGACCAATGTTGTATGTGGTTGTTCTCGGACCTGATGATACCCTTGTTAGCACCATACTCATGTTGAATGCCCCATGGGTTCCAGGCCAAGAAGGACCAATTTTGTATGTGGTTGTTCTCGGACCTGATGATACCCTTGTTAGCACCATACTCATGTTGAATGCCCCATGGGTTCCAGGCCAAGAAGGACCAATTTTGTACGTGGTTGTTCTCTGACCTGATGATACTCATGTTATCACCATACTCATGTTGACTGACCCATGTGTTCCAGGCCAAGAAGGACCAATGTTGTATGTGGTTGTTCTCTGACCTGATGATCCTCAGCTCCATAAAGAGGAAGAGTGGACCTGTCACACGCAAAGTCTCCATTATTCTGTGAGTGTTGCAGTCGGGGGTGCAGTGTAGTAGTGCAGGGGGTGCACACCCTTCCCTTCTTTGAAGCGTACTAATCATATTAGTGTATGATAAACATATAACTGAATTATTTTGTAACATGTTTCCACAATAATAACAATCATTTGATTATTTTTTTATACTTGGCTTAGAAATGCAGTTTGTTTCCTGAATGAACTTTAACAAGACTCTATCCTTCATGGATATGGCAGAATCTAGTAATCTGAAGGATTCTTCATGATGTACATTTTTGATGAATTATTTATTTTTTTAAATTACCAGTATCCCAATTTGACACCATTTTTAAGAATAAGTTTGTACAATTTTGTTGATTTTTTAATGTCATTTTTAATAATTTCCCTTAGCTTAATTTGACACCATTGTTACTGTATTGGCACAGTTTTTGTTTTTTTTAAATATTTGTAAAAATCTCTGGTACCTGAATTTAACAGCATTGTTGATATCATTAATTCCTTTGTGTATAAGAATAAGATCTTTAAGTTTATTATCTATATGTCCAGGAAATCCCCTGCCGGCCAGGACTTTGCAGAGAATATAAAGCATAAAGTGTGGCTGAGGATTGGATTGGATGACATTGAAATATTCAAGAGTAAGTTCACCAGTGTAGATGTTCAAGGACCTTGGTTCCAGTGTTGAACTGAAATGTGTTTCAGGCATTTACAAGAGGTGATGTTTGAACTGGAAATAGTTATTTCTTTTGCTATGCTTCCCTAGTGATAAGCCGTAATAATTTCCATGGTAACGGATATGCCTGGATCAACAAGACTCCACAGAATTTAGGAAGTTCTAGCTCTCTGTCAATTATTTTCAGAAATTTGGAAGAAATAAGGAAAGAATTAACCCTAAGCTAGCTGTAAATGGGTACTTGGATTCTTGATGTATCCTGTAGAACTGGTTATTCATTAATAGTACTGGGAATACAGTCTTCCAAATTCATGCTAGACCTCTAACCTGTAACTACTAAATTGTGAGGACAAAGCAAAAATACAATGATGGAAGTCCTCAATTAGAAGTAACATCTTAGGGCTATGATTCGTACCTGATCGCGATGCCTTGATTATACCATAAATCAGTCTGGCAGGACTGGTTACATACTAATGAAATGTGTTTTACATTTGTCTTCTGGACTAGTCTCAAATAAACAAATTTCTGAGGCTGTAATAGCAGTTTGAGACCCTGCTTGAGAAGCCTTCATAATGGCTGTGTCAGGCCTTGTTAATGCATGTCATCATATCCCAATAGTGTAGATCGATGCTCATGATGCCAGTGACTGCATTGACTGGTCCACACTTGATTATAGTCTGGAAGTTAATTTAAGGTACTGACGTTTACTACAATATCTGAAAAACTATCGGACCTACTCCAGTCAAAGTTGGTATGAGATTATTAAACAGTCATACATAACTGGATATTACATTTAAAGCCAATCGGTGCATTTATAAAAAATCTGTCTATTTAGCTATCACTGTATTTCAGAGATATTTTAGAATTGCATTTTAACATCACCATCATCACATTCTATGTAGTAATGTAAATATTGGCATCAAAGAGTCTTCCGACTAACAGGATTGGGTGGTCAGGCTCGCTGACTTGGTTGAAGCATGTCATCGTATCTCAATTGCGTGGATTGATGCTCATGATGTCAATCACTTGATTGTCTGGTCCAGACTTGATTATATACAGACTGACTTCATATAGCTGGAATATTGCTGAATGCGGCATTAAATAACAAACAAATAATCAAACCAGAGCAGACACATAACAAATTCTTTATTTACCGTAAAGGTGATGCTTTGGTATAGAGCCTTATACCGTTGTCAAGCAAAGCTATGCATCGGTATAATGACCTAACACGAAACGACGCCTTTACAGTAAATAAAGAAGTTTTTACATAAATTGTGTCTACTTTGTAGTCCGTCAACCTGTAAGTAATGCCTATCAAGCAATTTAAGCAAACAATTTAAACCAGCTGGTGTTAGTAGTGCTATTGTGTGTTGACAGCCCAGGGTTCTCTGACCCGAAAGGCGACACTAGACCGGGACCAGGTAGAGGATGATTTGAACCTGGTCACGCAGATGACGGAGCTGGCAAACAAGATGGCATTCCCACACCAGGTGAGCCATGGGCAAGGGGAGGTAACTCTCACACTGCTTCTTTGGAGCAAACAGGACTTCTATAACCCACATCCCCTTGATGTCTAAAACTGATGCATCAGTACTTTGGCCTTATTTCTGTGTGACTTTGAGATGATTTTAGGGTACTGACCATTTGATATTCTAGAGAGGGCCTGGGATTTTAATGAAAAAAGTAATTTGTCCCAGAAAATGCTTGAAAAAAAAATTATGCTTCAGACTGTACCAAAAGAAAATTAATTGTCTGCTGCAAAAAATAAATTGTTGCAAGATACTTTCTCAAAACAAATACTTACACTCATAGGTTTAATTTTAAAAATGTATAATTTTGTAGGTGCAGCTGAAACAGACCCTGAATTTTAATTGGTTGGTCCCTTATTGTGTGGGTGAATGATCGTTTGAATGTATTTTTTCATTATTTCTGTTTCATGTTGTAGGTGCTGGATGAAGCGCTGAAGGAGATGTCATCGTCACTGTTTAAACAGCTCTCGGAATGTCACATCCGCAGCCCCACGTCCGAGTCAAACAAGCTGGAGCTTCTGGTCACAACACAGTCAGTGTGGCTTCTTGTACTAAGGGGGGGGCTGTCAGTGTGTCTTCTTGTACTTGGGGGGGGGGCAGTCAGTGTGGCTTCTTGTACTAAGGGGGGGGGCTGTCAGTGTGTCTTCTTGTACTTGGGGGGGGGGGGGACAGTCAGTGTGTCTTCTTGTACTTGGGGGGGGGGGGGGCTGTCAGTGTGTCTTCTTGTACTTGGGGGGGGGGGGACAGTCAGTGTGTCTTCTTGTACTAAGGGGGGGGGCAGTCAGTGTGTCTTCTTGTACTTGGGGGGCACGGGGGGCATGGAGAGCACAGTCAGTGTGGCTTCTCATACTTAGGGGGGGGCAGTCAGTGTGTCTTCTTCTACTTGGGGGGCACGGGGGGCATGGAGAGCACAGTCAGTGTGGCTTCTTGTACTTAGGGGGGGGCAGTCAGTGTGTCTTCTTGTACTTGGGGGGCACGGGGGGCATGGAGAGCACAGTCAGTGTGGCTTCTCATACTTAGGGGGGGGGCAGTCAGTGTGTCTTCTTGTACTTGGGGGGCACGGGGGGCATGGAGAGCACAGTCAGTGTGGCTTCTCATACTTAGGGGGGGGCAGTCAGTGTGTCTTCTTGTACTTGGGGGGCACGGGGGGCATGGAGAGCACAGTCAGTGTGTCTTCTTGTACTTGGGGGGCACGGGGGGCATGGAGAGCACAGTCAGTGTGTCTTCTTGTACTTGGGGGGCCACGGAGAGCACACTCTGTATGTCTTCTCATACTTGGGGGATTCAGGGGGCACAGAGAGCACAGTCTGTATGTCTTCTCATACTTGGGGGATTCAGGGGACACGGAGAGCACAGTCTGTATGTCTTCTCATTCTTGGGGGATTCAGGGGGCACGGAGAGCACAGTCAGCATTTCTTCTCATACTTGGGGGATTCAGGGGGCACGGAGAGCACAGTCAGCATTTCTTCTCATACTTGGGGGATTCAGGGGGCACGGAGAGCACAGTCAGCATTTCTTCTCATACTTGTAAAATGCGGTTGGCATACTGTGTAAATTGCTGTTTATTTGTTCGTTGTGGTATACACTATATGTGTCACTGTTAATGGTCATGTCTGGTGTTGTGCTTACAGAGAGGGGGTCCACCAGTTTGTGGTCGTGTTCCCCTCCACGGAGAAGAGGATAACGTGGGAGGCAGCCTTTACAGATGCCAAAACCAAACTCTGTAGGTCTACACCTATCTTCATCTGATTACTTGCTCGTCATATAATACAAACAGGATAATATTCTGATAATACAAACAAGAAAAAATTATTATAATGTGAACAGAAAAATGTTCTGATAATATGAAAACAGGAACATTTAAAAGTTTTTTCATCTGTATGTAGAATGAAAAACTTTGGAATATATAATGAAATTGAGCTTTAAAAAAACGCATTAAATTACCACCCAAACATCTTGATGTAGCAGGAAATCAGCTTAGGTCCTTTAGATATTTATACAGGCAGTAATAGCTGGCATAAAGACTAGTAGCCTAGTGGTTAAAGTGGTCGCTCGTCAAGCCGAAGACCCGGGTTTGATTCCAGACATGGGTACAAGGTGTGAAGCCCATTTCTGGTGTCCCCCGCCGTGATATTGCTGGAATATTGCTAAAATCGGCTTAAAACCATACTCAGTCCTTGTTATTTATGAGATTTGATGTTTGTGTTTACAGCCTTATTGTCCGATAAGCGAGCGCCTGAGTTCTTACAACCTCTACAGATAACTAAAACGCGTGCTGGCATGCAGGTGAGTCCCTACAGTCTACTTAATTGTGTCTAACATGTCTCCTTGATCAGCACTATCAAATTGATACGGCGCCACCTTCAGCTTTCTCCCACCTATATGTGACAGTTTATTACAGTGTCAGTGTTCAAAGTGAAATGGTCCTAGGGTCCTATAGGTTTGCTTCTTTAGTGTTTGTGGGGCGGTCGGGTAGCCCAGTGGTTAAAGTGGTCGCTCGTCAAGCCGAAGACCCAGGTTCGATTCCCGACATGGGTACAATGTGTGAAGCCCATTTCTGGTGTCCCCCGCCGTGATATTGCTGGAATATTGCTAAAAGCGGCGTAAAATCTCACTCACTCACTCACTCTTTAGTGTTTGTATCTCAGATCCTCCTAATCCTTATCTTTTATCAGTAGGCTTATGACAAGGACTCCATGAATTTCATGGTATGTTTTAACACAGTTCTTCAGTTTAGCGTTATAGCCAAACTCAGAGCAGATATCAACCGTACAGAAATGTTGGATCACTGTTGCCACTATCAGAAAATAAAAGTCATAGGTTGAATGTATTTTTGTTTCCTCGACTTGAACAATGACACCTGTTTTTTTGTAAGTTTTAACTTTATTAATATTCATTGTCCAAATGCATCATATGCATCAAACCTTATCTAAGATTTATAAGTTTATAAGCTTTCCCAGAAGTAAATACATATACATGTTAATGAACCCCCCCCCAAAACAAAGAATTTAATGCCAAATAAAATAAGAAATGGTGATCTGGGACAGTTTTTTATGTATATTAGTTGCCATGAGACTATATGGATTTGGAATGGTTCAACTTGTCATAATGATGATTGCATTTATAACATTAATTCCTTGTATTTTATCTCCAAAACTTTAATATATGATGTGTTTCTGTAGATTGTGTTACTTCACGAGAATGTTGTCTTTTCAAATACATAGACACTATTTTTTACTTTCAATCACCGTCTTGACCCTCAAGGGCACAAAGATGTCCCTTTCCATTTTAGAATATTCAAAACCTGTTAGGCTTTCGTTTCCATGGAAATAGGGTGAAATGACCTTTGAAAGGTAATTTTCATTTCCTGAGTAAATCTCGAAACCCAAAATGTGCTTATGGCAAAGAAGGAAAACATCTTTTTTGCTATGGATTTTTTTTCAGATCTGTTATAGTTCCTGTTCCCATAGAAACTGGTTTAGTTTCTAATGTTGATGTCAACATTTTCAGTGGTGTGTCTGTGGCTGCGAGCACACATACAAGTTGTGACACTGCATGACTGTTATTCTTCATGTGCCAAATAAATGAGATGCCAGAATGTTTTTGCTTGTTATCCCCCGCCATGAAGTCCTTCCATTCATCCGTCCACTTCTCAATGGGGACAATTTTTATTTCATCTCAGTGCATAGTTTGTGCAATGGGACAAGTTTTCTCAAAAACTACTGAAGTTACATGAATGAAAGTTTGCATGCTTATCTAAGAGATACTTATCAAGACAGAGTTTGGAACTTAGTGCTTTTCTAGTGTTGCATCTCTTGCTTCATGTTTTTATATTTTTTGCATACAGAGTTATGGCCCTTGGTCCATATTAATTTTTTTTATTTCGTGCATAGTGTCTACAATAGGGAAAGTAAAATCAGATTTTTTCAGTGCCTATCTTTTCTAAGGATATATAGGAGTCTTTTTCACCGTTAGCATAACTTCCATGTACTCACTACTACCGTATTCGATGTAATAAGCACCCTACTCTTATAAGCGCCCACGGCGATATTTGCTAATATATTGGCTAGTGAACAATCCCAATTAGCACCCTTCCGACTGATCAATGTACCCAAGACTTATTTATTTGTGTATAACACGCACTCGTGTGTTATATGCACCCTTAATTACGGGCAATTAAATTTTTGAAAAAATATATCTGACTTTTCTTTTGTATTCTTTTTAGGCTGTCAGCATAAACCACAAAATTTACGATTTTTCTACTCTTTCACCAAATTTATATTCTAATAAGATCCCCCTATTTCTAACTTTGAGAGCGCCCTGGGTGCTTATTACGTCGAATACAGTATATGAATAAACAAGACTCTAACGTGCCCCATGGCGGGGGATAATGATAACACTGTTTGTTTTCTAACATTTGCATCATATTCAAAGGTTGCCATCTTTCACAGAGTGCACATGCACTGCATTGTTTGTTTATTTGTACTGTAATATCCAACGTAAAATGTTTATGCATTCTCTTAATTCCATGATTTTCCCCCGTGAAGTGTTTTGCTTATGACAGTAGTCTTAGTAATGTCTGTTTAGATTAGCTTTGTCTAACATAGCTTAGCTAACTGTCTCAAGCTCAGCTTACTAAACTTTGAAATCTCTCTCTGTTTCCTTGGTTTGAACTCTTATCTTTCTAAAACCTTTTGAACACCAGACAGAGCATGAACACATCCACCTATTAGATACAAGCTTTCTCCCCTACCTTACTGATGCTGTGTTTAGGCAGCATGGTTTAACATGTATGCATGCTTACACTTGTTGAAATAGTCAATCAATGAATATATGATGTGAGGGATAAAATGCAGCAAATTTTGCACCAATTATGCACGTTTCAAGCACAAAATGCATGTTTTGGGTTTCATTGTGAGCCAACTGCACAAATAGGATGACATTCATGTCATACAGTCATCAGTGTTTGTGCAAGACGATTCTGGAAAGTAAACAAGAACCTTTTCTTTTTTCCCTCCTAACTTTGCCTACCAGGGTAGCACTGAGAGTTACCTCCCCTCTATCTTGCAGTTTTCCTGTGCAGCCCCTATTGATGGCCTAAATGCTAACGGCTATCGTGATGTATGGGTGTGCAACAGCGATGGCTATGTAGGTCACATGTGCTTGCTGAGTCTTCAGCCTGAGCCAATCGTCACTCTCAATACTCCTGTCCCAGGGTGCAATGCTCGCATCCTGTGCATCTGTGCCGTGCCTGCTTACATTGGAGCGTTTCGGAGGTAGGACCACGTGCATGCCAATCTTGCTCGTCATACACAATCATAGGACAAGAATGGGGAAACCACTTGACAAGATAGCATTGCTTGGTTGCAGGAACATAAAATGAACAATCAGTGGAAGTGGAAATCAGTTCCGGGTGGGGACAATAATTGCAGATTAATTTATTCGACTTGCTTAATTTTGCTTGCAATAATTTTTAAAAATATGCTTGATATTTAGCCATCAAAACACACATTTGGAGAAGGTGACTTGTTATTTGGTAAAAAGACAAATGTATTTGAAATATATATTCAGCAAGGATGTCCTCATTTCTGTGGTGTGAATATAGTAGACTGGCATCTCGAAAGCAAGAAGAAGTTTATATTTATGGAGACAGTTCTGTGGCTGTGTTCTTTCCTGGGTTCTTCTGTGTTTGTCCTTAATGAGGTGTTGGGTCGCTGTCCCTTGATTCCTAGTAATGTCTACTGGCTAGCAGCTTCCACTGTTAATACATGCAGAGAACTCAAGTCACATCAGTTGTTGGAAGAAAACAGTATTTTTCCTTTCAGTGACAGTGTAGTTTACTCTGTTTATTATGAACACTTATACTTTATTGGTTCTATGTTGTGATCGGATTATTAATTCTATGTTGTGATCGGATTAGCAAACTTCAAGAAATGGGAATATTAAACATTCTTACGGACGTGTCTGCGTGTTGTTTCTGAGGTCATTGCCATAATATTGAACCGTATTTGAAGTCTTGTATAATGGATAGATTCACAAACAATGTGATTGCGACTATTGAATTATGTTAAAACTTGTGCCATATAAAAAATGTATTTTTATTTATATGTTAGAAGAACTACATTTAATCATATTCTATGTGATCAAGAAAAGTGAATCATGTAAAATTTTATTTCAAGTCTCATACTATAAGAGATACATGCAGTTTCAACTTGTGTCTTGCAGTATTGCTGTCATCATGGTTAAGACGACTTTGCTGAATGATAAATGCATTCTGCCTCTGTCAGGATACAGAAACTATAGCATGCTGAACTAAACAATGCCCTGGAAGCTACATAGAATGTGTCATTCCTTCCTTTCAGAAGAAGCAGTACAAAGGGTCGGCAAAGGCAGCAGCAACGAGACTCAATTGGCTCTCCGTCCGAGGGTCCGCGTATTAATGTAGAGAAAGTAGACGAGGATGTGGACAATATCCCCGAGGATGGGTATCAGTCGGACTCCGAGTCTGAACCTGAGTCGGATGATGAACCTTTGTCTTTCATCCCCCATCAGGATGAGCTGTATGTTGGAGGTAAGCCTGCTATGAATGTCATTTGGAGGATATGGGATTTATATATAACAAATGTTTTATTTGGGATGACATTTTCTAAGTAAAAGACAGAACCAACACAGCCCGAGTGAGGCACCTAATCACGCTGGGAGTGTGGGTTCAATTCCTGGATGAACCGAAAAAAGTACTAGAATCTGTACTTTACGGAGAAAGTTTTATCCTCAATATAACATTTGTTTCATTTGACCACATTCTAAATGGCATTGTGTGTTCATGGGATTTATATTGATGCTAAGTTGGCATTTGTAAACTATAAGTGACTAATGTTTTCATTTCTTTCTGACTATGCACCCATTCCTTCTGACTTTTATATGTTTGAATAAAGATAAGACTTCAAGCGGTCAACTTCATTCTATGCATGACCAGCTCATTTTATACGTGTATCTAAATACAATTCCCAATCCAACATTTGGACCTATCTCTTGAGACCTACAACAGGTACCCGGGTAGGGTCGGGTAATAGTTGGGGGGGTACCCGGGTAGTAAATTTGGACTCGTCCCAGCCATATTACCTGGCATATAGAGACTATGATGTAAGCATGTGTGTCATACTGATTTTACGAAACAAGTGTCAGAATTCTTGATTTTCCGAGTTTTGTAAAATCATAACCCTTTATTTCATAATCCTTTTTATCTCCCCTTGATGACCACTGACCACAACCGCCATCATAGAAGACTACAATTGTCGAATGACGTGAACAATCTTCAGATATCGTTTCATTCCCACCTTATGTCACAATACGATTTTTAATGAGTTAACAATGACGTAAACAGTACACCATGAATGCAAATACAATTTTTTTTAAATTGGTTATTTCTAACCCTATTGGTAATAAACTGAGTTGTCATTATTCCTGTGATGGGAGGAATGCTGACACTGTGTCCACTGTTGAGGACTGCTGGCTTGATGGAGATGTTTCATGGCTGACTTTTGAGTGACTCCCTGACACTCCTCCTGTTGAGTGTAAGGCCCGTAGCTGGTGTGGCAGACAATCATCACAAACACACCTTGTTCCTCGGCGGTCGGTTAGCCTAGTGGTTAAAGCGTTCGGTTCTAACGCCAAAGACCCAGGTTCGACTCCCAACATGGGTAAAATTTGTGAAGCCCATTTCTGGAGTCCCCCTGCCGTGATATTGCTAGAATATTGCTAAAAGCGGCGTAAAACCATACTTACTCACTCACTCACTCACCTTGTTCCAGATCTGGTCTCGGATGATGATGCTCCTCCGCGGCCGGTAATCTCCCCTCTCGCACAGAACAGCCCCGACCCCATCACGACAACAGGAAACTGGATGCAGGATGCTCAGCGGAGTACCATGTGGCTCGGCACTGAGGATGGCTGGTGAGTTGCAGGCAGGGAGGGGGCACTGGTTTTTGTTAGGGTCTTCAATCTAAATGAGAAGGAAAGGAGCAGCGTTGTAAGCTGCTCAGAATGTAGCTCATTGTGAAGTGACATCCACCAATGTTGAGACTGGCTCTCTTAAACTCCAAAAGGAACACTTTATCATCTTATAAGTGGCCTGTCAAATGTGCCGAACTTTGATGTGTCGAACTAAGGGTTGTCTCAAAGCAACAGCTTCTCCCTGTCTACTAGGGGGCGGACGGGTAGCCTAGTGGTTAAAGCGTCCGCTCGTCACGCCGAAGACCCGGGTTTGATTCCCGACATGGGTACAATGTGTGAAGCCCATTTCTGGTGTCCTCCGCCATGATATTGCTGGAATATTGCTAAAAGCGGCGTAAAACCAGACTCACTCACTCACTCACTCACTCACTCACTCACTCACTCACTCACTCACTCACTCTTTAGTCATCATTTTCGGTTGTGTCGAGCCTCGCATAACTCAAAGTACGTAGGTCCCGTCAACTTTGACACAACAGTGTTTGACTGTGTAGTACCTGATGGTACATTTGTTGTTATCTACCCCATTCTTGTTTTCTGTTGCAGCATTCACATATTCCAGTGTACAGATAATATCAAAACAACGAAAAACAAACTCAAAATCCAGCATGGATCACCGGTGTATGGCATTGTGTAAGTAACACTGATGTCCTCGCTCTATATGTAGTAACACCTTTGAGGTGAGGTGAGGTGAGGTGAAATTGGGTAAAACGTCGCGTCCAAGATTATTGCACTTATATAGCGACGTGCATGCACGTGTATGTGTGTGTGTGGCTGCTTGTACTAGTCCGGACTGATGCCGATTTATAGTGCTAGCTCACTGAGATACCATACTGCAGTTTAACATGAATACCCCACTCAGACAGAGTATACTGACTCCGAGCCGACCAGTCCTTGTTTTAGCCCCTTAATGCCGAGCGCCAGACAGGGTAACAACAAGTACCATCTTTAAACGTCTTTTTGTATGACGCAGCCGGGGATTGAACCCCGGACCTTCCGCTCCAGACGGACACTCTACCACAAGACCACGGAGACGGTCGTAACACCTTTGAAGGTAGATCCCGAGATATACACTGCGGCCGTGGTCTAGTGGATAGGGTGGGTGGAGCATCTCCTGGAGCACAGGGTGTCAGTAGTTCTATCCCTGGCTACGTCACACTAAATGCTGCTGGCTTACTTCATGTCATGGCAGTTGTTCGTGAAATGTTATCTCTTGTAATAAACTGTCAGTGGTATTAAAATGACTTGGATAAACGCCAGCCCTCATTAATTTCTGAAGGACTATGCCTGATGACTGTTTCTGTTATAAATGAAATTATTGCCGAGACTGAGGGGTGGTGTGTTAGCCGAGAGGTTAAACCTTTTGCTTGTCACGCTGAATTCCGCTGTTCGATTCCCCAAAATGGTGCAATGAATGAAGCCCAGTCTTCATAATCTTGCTGAAATATTGCTATAAAACCAGCTGCTTAGATTAAGTGAGTATGGTTTTATGCCGCTTTTTGCAATATTCCAGCAATATCACAGCAGGGGAAGACCCGTGAAGATTCCGGGGTAGAATAGGTCTTCAGCAACCCATGCTTGCTGTAAAAGGTGACTATGCTTGTCGTAAAAGGCGACTAACGGGATCGGGTGGTCAGGCTCGCTGACTTGGTTGATGCATGTCATTGATCCCAATTGCGTGGATCGATGCTCATGATATTAATCACTGGATTGTCTGGTCCAGACTAGATTATTTACAGAGAATTCCAGGAATTGTGCATGGATGTACCTTAACGTGTTTTGTCTTTCTGTTTCAGATATCTTGATAACAAAGTGTTTGTGTCTCTGGCTAATGGGGATCTGATTGTCTATAAGAGAGAGTTGAGCATGGTATTCAATGGTGAGACACAGTTATCTCCCTTTAGTCACACAAAGTGCAATATTTACTTTGGAAGCTTGTCAGTTTCTTGCAAAGCTGGGCCGCGGGGTTAGCAGAGTGGTTCATGCTCATGCTGAGATACATGGAACAAATATGAGATCTAACTTTGTTGTCCACTACATTGCCCTCAGGCACCTATACTGATAGTGTGTCATTGTGCCCAGATCACATGAATCATTATAAATGCTCTTAATGGTTATGCTGGTCCGGAATCGAATACTTACAGGCCGCAGTGAAATAGCTGGAATATTGCTGACTGCAGCATTAAACAACATTCACACACACTCTCCTATGGAGCAACCATGCTTGCCGTAAAAGGCGACTATGCTTGTCGTAAGAGGCGACTAACAGGATTGGGTGGTCAGGCTCACTGACTTAGTTGATGCATGTCATCGTATCCCAATTGCATGGATCGATGCTCATGATGTCAGTCACTGGATTATCTGGTCCAGACTCGCTATTTACAGACCGCAATCATATAGCTGGAATATTGCTGAGTGCGGCGTTAAACAACAAACAAACTATGTATTCAGTTTGATAAATATTTGACTGAATGATTTCACCTCAGCTCCACTTTCCCTGCATCAACTTTGCGTTCTGGTGGGCACAGAAACATCTGTCATCATCTGTTTGATGATGTCATTGCCCAGTGATGCCAACATGTCTCTCAGCTGTTTGAGTACTCACAAAAAGAGTCCTATAGACAACTACTGAAAATATTCTTATAAAAGCATCAATAGACATGAGGTACTTTCTATCTTGTGGATGGCTTTGAGGATTCAGTTCCTGGGAATGTTTACATTTGAATTCTCTGGCGAATGTTGTTGATTCCTAATGCAAACAAATCACCCCTGTTCATCTCCTCATTTTGGGTGTTATATTTACATTTCCAACTCTTACCCTGGAAAGATATTATATGTTAATGATCCCTTGTCTTACACAGAGGGCCTGTGGGACACAGAGAGGCCGTACACACGCACAATCGGAAGTGCCACCTCCCCGATCACGAAGATGCTGGCCGTGGCAGGCAAACTCTGGTGTGGTTGTCAGAACAACATCCATGTTATAAACCCCCTTACGCTCAGTGTCGAGGCAAGTATATAGCATAATGTGTGTAGCTTCTTCAAGCTAAATACATGTCATGATAATTTTAGCTGCAGGTTAAAAGTGTCAGGGTAACTCATTATTTGTCAAAGCGATTTTACAGCCTTAAATGGAGTAATTCCCATGAAGATTCCAGGTTAGAATTAGTCTTCAGCAATCCATGCTTGTCTTAAGAGGCGACTAATGTGATCGTGGTCAGGCTAGCTGACTTTTTCATACATGTCATGGTATCCCAATTGAATAGATCGATGCTTATGATGTCAATCACTGGATTGTCTGGTCCAGACTCGATTATTTACAGACCATAATGGTGGAATATTGTGGCGTTAAACAACAAAACAAACAAAAATAAATGGAAACTTCTGGCTCATGGGCAGACATTGTTTGTTCAGGCCAGCAGCTATGCTGATTATGCAGATACTTGGGTATTGGCTAAAACGAGTTGAAATAGAAGAAAGATTGTGCCAGTTTAAGAACCTTCTTAGGTCTGTAGTGTTTGTGCACAATTTCTAATGGGCATATGTTCATGGTTAATGCAGTAATACTATGGTTATTGTGTTTTCATTTCTGAGTGAGTTGGGTTTAACGCCGCTTTTAACAGTATTCGAATTTATCACCGCGTGTCAGCTTAATGTGGGAGGAAAGCCCGAAGTGATGCAGGTCTCAGACGTTTACTACTTCGGTGAAACCCACGAGCACGGGTATGTTGGTGACAAACCTAGAAACATAATAAGGGCAAACTGGGAATCGAACCCACAATCATTGGTTTCTGGTGTGCCCAAGGGACACAACTCTGCATGGCGAATCGTGGTACCTTAGACGACTTGGCCATCCGTGCCCCCTTTTCTTCCTGGATGAATGTATTTTAAAATGTCACCAATTTCTTAGTGAAGTTTTTAGGCAGGAGTTGTTGTATGTTTCAAAACTAAAGGACCTGACATTTAGAAGTGCTCCCTCAAACTCACTAAAGAGACATTGTACACTGTGAATTAGACTGATGCTTAGTCTCTGAAAATATATCATTTTGATTGAAACAAACAACTCCATCCATTTAAATTGAGAGAGCCTCCAAACTTGTGGAAAATCTAGACTTGCTTCGTTTAGGGCTAGAATTACACTTAGGGATGGACGGAAAGGAAAATAATATGGTTCAGGGACTGTGGGACAGACTAACTATGTATGTGTGAATGTCAGAACATATCGTTAAATCCAAGTCAGCAGAGTGATTGTTTGTCAGAGTGTTTGAACTCCCAAGGTTTGTTTGTGCAGACGTTCCAGGTGACGACAGATGCGAACCGCTCCGTGCAGTGCATGGTCTGTGCAGGACAAGGGGTGTGGATTGCTTCTCAACAGTCCTCAAAAGTCAGCCTATTCCATGCCACAACCTTCGAACCCCTCCTTGAAGTCAGCATCGCACAGGCTGTGTCCGCCAAACTGCAGTGTAAGTCACAGAGAGCTGTTCATCAATTGGGGGACTTCTTCTCCATTTTGGGAATTTTTACTGACATTTGCTGCAATCATGGGCGGAATATCTGCCTCTGAGCAGGTCCAGATTAACCCTGGGTGCTGTTGTACAATGCGATCTTAGAGCTACGGTGATCGCAACTCCCATACCTTAACAGACAGACAGTTTATTTTGTAACTTAAGCATCAAGGCCAATGGTACAGTGCGGATTGGATATCAACATTTGTCATGTGATGTACATGATTAGATTTTAAATTAAGTTACACATTTGTCATTATGAAGACATGTTTTAAGAATACAGAAACAGAATGGTTCATATCAGGATTTTCAGAGTTTAGCAGATTTATCATTAACTGATGGTCTTTAAAAATACCTTGCAACATGGGAGAAATTTATACCTTAATGCGAATATGTTATACATATAAGTAAGACATGGTATTCATCCTCTACTTCTCCGAATGAACAGTTTGTAAAAATAGAGTTCACAACATCACCATCTTTGGTGAGTTCACAATATCACCTTAACCTAGACTTGCGACAGTTGTAGTGCTAAGGTTGTGTTGTATAACGGCCCCCTGATCTAATAATGATTGTTCATGATGTATGGTCTGTGTGTTGCAGCGGCTGACGACATTATCCGGCAGCACAAGGCAGCATGTTTGCGGATCACAGCTCTGCTCATCTGTAAGGACCTGCTGTGGGTGGGGACGAGTGCTGGAGTCATCCTCACCATCCCCATCCCGAAGATCACCTCAACCACAACCAATGGTTCTCTGGCCATCCCTTCTGTCACAGGTTGGTTGTTAGCATCATCTCATCTATACTGGTCATCAGCCGTGGTCTAGTGGTAGAGCGTCCGCCCGGAGAGCGGAAGGTCCGGGGTTCGATCCCTGACCGCGTCATACCAAAAGATGTTAAAAGATGGTACTTGTTGTTACCCTGTCTGGCGCTCGGCATTAAGGGGCTAAAACAAGGACTGGTTGGCTCGGAGTCAGTATACTCTGTCTGAGTGGGGTATTCATGTTAAACTGCGGCATGGTATCTCAGTGAGCTAGCACTATAAATCGGCATCAGTCCGGACTAGTACAAGCAGCCACAAAAACACACACACACGTACATGCACGTCGCTATATAAGTGCAATTATCTTGGACGCGACGTTAAACCCCATTTCACCTCATCACCTCACCTCATCTATACTGGAAACTAAGGCTGGGATGAGTCCACTGTTACCCGACTCTACTCGGGTACCTGCTGTAGGTCTCAAGAGATTGGTACAAAATGTCTGATTGGGAAACGTTTGACTGTACTCCTGTCAAGATGTATTTGGATACATGTATAAAATGATCTGGTCATGCATACACTGAGGTTGAATTAAGTTTTATCTTTATTCAAACATATAAAAGTCAGAAGGAATGGGTGCATAGTCAGAAAGAAATTGCGAACTAGTGACTTGTAGTGTAACCATGGAGTTCTAGATAAGTTGTGTCATTAAACAATATATCACGTGACTAACCAGGGGTCTGGGTAGTCCTGTGGGTACCCGGGTCCTTCTCAGTACCCTCTCGATCCTGAGTACCCGAGTTACCCTTCTCAGTCCTACTGGAATCCCACATTTTGAATTCCATGAAAGTGACTAGGTAGATCAGGGTGTACCATTTTGGTTGCTAACAAATACGAAAAACTTTCTGAATGGTTTTGATTTATGTAATAATTCATGTGATTCATGTAGGATAGGTCCCTGTATCACCATACTGGTTGTAACAGCCGATTGGCTGATAGTGTGTCATCGTACCCTGATGGCATGGATGTTGCTCATGCTATCAACCTTTGCTTTGTTTGGCCGGATCTAAACCCATGGTTTCCCTGACCCTGACCGATTATTTACAGGCAGCTTTGACATGGCTGAAATATTGCTTAGTGTGGTGTGAAACAATGTTCACTTTTCACAAGAGACTAGTTTATTCATTCAATTTCACACATATTTTAACCCCCCGCCGGGATTCTGCGTTAGAATAGGTCCACAGGTCATAAGAGGCGACCAAATGGATCGAGAGCTGATCCTCTCTGACTTTGTCGATGGTGTGTCATCATACCCTGAAGGCGTTAATTGTTGATCATAATATCAATCACTGGATTTTCTGGGCCCCGTTCCACAAAGCATTCATAGCGCTACACCACTGGTAAGTCCATGTTAAAATATGGTAATTACGATCACCTTAGAGCTACGATCGCTTTGTGGAATGGGACTTGATTATTTAAAAACCACTGTCATATAGCTGAGTGCAGCATTATACAACAAACAAACAAAATATATTTTTCAATCCATTTCTTTCAACTCTATTGTGCTTATTTCAGGCCTAGTCTACGGGCACACCGGACATGTCCGCTTTCTGACAAGTGTGGAGCTCTCTGTTGGAGGAGGTCAGAAAAGCGAGGCTAAGGAATCTCAGGGCGAGGGAAGTGCCATGCCTGACCTTCACAGGCGGTCCTCAATGGCAGCTACTATTGCTACCATGGCAACACGGATGCTTGTGATAAGTGGCGGGGATGGTTACGAGGATTTCCGCAATACATCGGCCAACGAGGCAGCTGGCCGGGACGATAGCACAAATCACCTACTGTTGTGGCAGGTGTGAGAGGAACTGATGGACGGATGACTGACGCTCCTACTGGGTGGCAGATCACTGGGGTTTCATTTACTGCTCAACACAACCAAGTTAAAGACAGCCTACTTCTGTACAGGCACTAATCTGCCCTTGCTCGACTCGTAGATTGAGGATCTGTACTTATAGTTTGAGTGTTCATTACTCTAAGGCCACACTTTTTCAATTTGTTGGTTTACAGATTTGACCAACCGAAGCCAAATCTGAGTCATTTTATAAAAGAACAGTTCAATTATATTTTCTTCCTTAATCTTTGATGTGTGTGAAAAGTTTGTAAAAACTCCATAAAATTGTTTTTAAAGTATGACCGTAATGAAACTTAAAGAGTTGTCATGGAGTCCTGGTAACTTCTTAACATATTTTCTAAAAAATTAACTTTGGCAGTTGAAGAATTGAAAAATCTCAAGCACTGATCTGAATTATTATGTTGTGGTAGGGACATGCGCTGCATGGCCTCATGTGTTGGGACACAGTGTACAAGTCTTGCATATCATGACCTGTGGACAAGAGAGATCTGCAGCACATGAGGATTGGAAAATAACGTTATTCCTTGTCACGGAATCAGTGTGGTTTAGTTGATACATTGACATTTCTTGTATTGAACTGTGTCTGCCCAATCTGCCCCCAGCAGGAACCGGTGTGTTACGTGTGCATATCTACTTGGTGCTCATCTGAAAACAGGTTGTGAAATATTCATCAACCAGAGGTATTTTGCTTGCAAGTATTTTAAATTGTCTATTTATTTCAGTTGTACATAGTCGCCCATGCTGTACAGAGTTGGGATTTGAAGGATGGCTAGGAAAGGGAGAGAATGAGTGAGCAAACATAATACCAATGTCACTCACGGGAGATGACTTCGTCCAATGCCAGCATCTATTGTGGATGCAACAAGGAATGTCATGGCCCAAGTGTACCCTTGCCCCTTAATTAGTGAAAGAAAAACTAATGCCTCCTTAGATGGAGGATCCCCCTAGCTGCTTTCCCTGTATTATCTCTCTACCAGTACCAGCCTCTATTCCCTGTTGTAAGATATGTTCTAAAGTTGACATGTTTGTGTAAAAAACATTCATGTGGGTTAGCCCTGTGGTTACTGTGTCCATCTTTCATGCACAGGTTTGATTCCCTGGGCCCCGTTCCACAAAGCGATCTTAGCGCTAAGTCGATCGTAACTCTCATTCTTTAACACTGACTTAAGACAGTCATAGCACTAAGATCCCTTTATGGAACGGGTCTCTGAACACTAGCGTCCAAAACTGGAACCTGGGGCTGTTGTACGTAACAACCTTAGCGCTACGATGATCGTAAGTCTTTGTTATAGTATGGTAATTGCGATTACCTCGCACTATGATCCCTTTGTATAATGACACCCTAGGTGCCGGTGTACAAAACAACCTTACTCTACGACTGTCGTAAGTCTATGTTAAGGTATGGGAGTTACGATCACCTTAGCGCTAAGATCGCTTTGTACAATGGCACCCTGGTCAACAACGTGACCTTAGGGCTATGCTGATTTACATCAAGTATGGACGTTATACCAGTCGTAGCGCTAAAATAGAACAGGCTATGATGTGGACTAGTCAGCCATTGTTGGTATTGTGCTACTTGTCTTACAACATATGATGTCCCAACTCTGTTATTTCCGAGTGATGACAGTTGGTATTATGTTTGTCTCCAGAATCTGTGGCTTCTCCCAACTATTCAGCTACACAGAGACAGAGGTGAATGCTCCATTGACGAAGATGGGGCTCTCTCTCCCCATGTGCCAAATACTTCCTTGTTACCAGTGTTATATGGCTTGTTATTTACTACAGATGTTATAGAAGCGTTATGCAGGGGAACTCGTTACCCCCGACGGTGGGGACACAAATGTGCTTGAAATGTGATGTGTTCTGGTAAACTGATTCAAGAGAAGGCCTATGCCATTCAAAGTGTTGCTATTAAACTATTTGTTGTCTATTTTGAGGCGGAAGTACTCTCAAGTGATTTTTTTATCTTTAAGAGTTTTTATGCGAATCATGACTTATCTGATGTGTAGAGACATACATTTATGCTCATACAGATTTGGATATATTAAGTATTATATGATCGTTTAAACTTTTATGCCCTGGTTAATTAAAAAAAATTTGTATGCTAAAATCAAAACTCAATGTTAAATGACTGTGTGATTGATTCAACAAATATAAACTTATGAATCTTATGAATATGAATCTCTTTTCGTTGTTGTCTCGACCATTACAGCATTACTACCGAGACTGTTAGTACCTGCCCCCGCACCTCACCCCAGCCAACCTTCCTCACCCCCCCCTACCCCACGTCCCTCACCCCCACTCCACATCCCTCACCCCTCATATGAATCAGTGCTATTTATGAAGCATTCAGTTTTGTCTCTGCATTAGTGCCTTAATCGAGCTGAAATGTGTTCTTCACAGTCAACTTGTTTGTAATAAATCTGAGTGTATTTATAATCTGATATCTATTCTGTACAGATTGACCGATATATGTGTGTAGTACATTGTAGGATGTGATGTCAGAAGCATTGTACTACATTGTAGAACTGTATGATGTAGTACATTGTAGGATGTGATGTCAGAAGCATTGTACTACATTGTAGAGCTGTATGATGTAGTACATTGTAGGATGTGATGTCAGAAGCATTGTACTACATTGTAGAGCTGTATGATGTAGTACATTGTAGGATGTGATGTCAGAAGCATTGTACTTCATTGTAGAACTGTATGATGTAGTACATTGTAGGATGTGATGTCAGAAGCATTGTACTACATTGTAGAGCTGTATGATGTACATTGTAGGATGTGATGTCAGAAGCATTGTACTACATTGTAGAACTGTAGGATGTAGTACACTGTAGGATGTCATGTTGGTGTGCATTGTACTACATTGTAGAAGTTATGAAGTAATACATTGTAGGATGTGACCGACATTGAAACACATGGTACTACATTGTACAAATGTTTGATGATGTACATTGTAGGATGTGACATATCAGTACACGTTGTAGGATGTGACATATCAGTACACATTGTAGGATGTGACCTGGTGTCAGTACTAGAGTATTGTGACAATCACAGCGACAGTGTACTAAGTGTATGACAATATCCATTGTCATGACAAGTCTGTCCCCTCACACATCAACACTTGCTAACATTGTCTTGACTACAGAACATACAAGATGTGTAATGGATGATTATATCACTGTAGTAGACCGACCTAGCAGCTGATAACCTCTCATTCCACTCTCAGACACTGCTCAGCCCATTTATCATAAACAGCAGAATTTCCAATCAGATATGCAAGTGTTATTTTGGCTTCTTTTTTTTGTTTGATCTTGAAGTAAATCGGTTCAATGGTTTAAATGATTCAATGGAATCCTATCCTGGAAAATATAAATGCAAATTAAGCACAGAAAATATCGATGATTCTGCTATTTTTGTTTAAAGTAGCTTTCATTGTAAAGTTTGTTCAAGGTTCTCGGTGTGTTACCAAAGGGATTATGTTATTTCGTACTGTGTATGAAGACGTATCTGTCTCAGCGTTGCTCATCTCCGAGGCACATGCACAATTGTCTGCTTTCAAGTAGCCGAAGTCTTCTCTCACACGGTAATGTAACATTCAATAAAGGATATATTCATGACCTTTTTGTAGTCCCCAGTGAAGGGAATGTTAGTATAAGAGATACATACGTGTCTGTTTTCTCACAAGAATTTATCATTTCCCACATAGTTGAGAAATTTGATCAAAGTGTTTTTGATCATTTTCGTTTTTCGAGTGGAAATATTATTTGCTCATGTAGCCAAGTTTGTCTTGTTGAGATTCTATTAAGCCCTGTTACTTTATTTTCATTGATGTCACTCATTCTCATAGTGGTATATTGGTTTATAATGAACAGGTCTCTTTGATTGGTTGTACCAATGTCTATTCATACTAGTGTTGCTATTTTCTTTTAGTTCGGGAAATTTTTAAAGTTTAATTTTATTATTGATACGAATATCAGAGACCATATCATATGTTCCGGTTTTATTGATGGGGCAACACTTTTTTATTTTATTGTTTATCTTTGGTCAGTCAGAGTAAAATGAATGTTTTTTTACTTTAATTGTCAAAATATTGTGTGGGTAAGCCCGGGTAGCCAAATCTGTTTTATATAAAAGAATTGTGCAAAGTGTTGAATTCTTTCAGAGAATTGTTTGTTCGCTTTGGTGTGGGAAGAAACCGCAGTGAATTTAATCAATTAATATCCAACTTTTTGATGCATTTTATTGCTACATATCTCTTCAGTTTTTTTATCCAAAACAAAGTGGACAGGAAATTGAAATGAAAAAATATCCCCCATTGGTTTAGTGATGGCTGGCCAAAAGAAAGTATACACTTGAAAATTGAATTTGACTAATTACTAAGCAGAAAACAGTTGCTGAAACACTGCAAGCTTAAGATCCAGAACTAAACTATGATACCTATCTAATATATCACCATCGAATATTTTAGCCACCATGCAACATGGGTGCATACTTTGTTTTGTCCAGCAGATGAGTTGATGGCTTTGGGCTGTGCTCAACTCACAACCATAAAATGAAAACAGTGTTTCCTTTGTTACAAGGTGATTGCATTTACAGAACATATCACAACTATAACTTTATATCACAGCAATAGAATTATTGCATATGAAAGAAACATGACAATCAGAAATATTTATATTTTTTGAGCGATGAATCATACATTATGACAGATAGAGTTCCAGTTTATGTTTGTAGAAAGTTTAAGTCAGTATTTATTGAGCTCAATGAGTCAGCTGCAAGGCCCTTTCCAGAAAGTGATCTTAGCACTAAGATGACCATCCCTCCAGCACTTCTAAGACTGACTTACGTCAGTCGTAGAGCGAAGGTCTCCATGGAACGGGCCCTGAACTAGTATTACGTGAGTCCACACATCTATAGTCACTGCCGATGTTCACTGCCATGCAATGCAAATGTAGTATATTTACATAGAAGTCTCCATGTGTGACAATTGCAGCAGCGTTGTGTTGCTATAGACACATGGATGCTGGGTGTAGTTACCATTTATACAACATCAATGTAGAAAGGACATTTAACTGGATTGTAAAGTAGGACAGTGTGTAATTAAGTCTGACTTACAATTTATTTGCCTTTTGTTGAGGCAATTCTTTCAAGGCTGCGTTCCACAAAGCAATCACAGTGCTAGGACTGCAGCAATGTATGTATAGCTGTAGCCATTGTAGCCATACAAGGTGTGGAAACATTACCAAGAACACTTTTAAGTTGATAGGGACCCTTCTAAGTTGATAGGGACCCTTTTAAGTTGACAGGGACCCTTTTAAGTTGATAGGGACCCTTTTAAGTTGACAGGGACCCTTTTAAGTTAAGGACCCTTTTAAGTTGATAGTAACCCTTTTAAGTTGATAGGGACTCTTGTAAGTTGATAGGGACCTAAGTTGATAGGGACCCTTTTGAGTTGATAGTGACACCTATATGATGATAGGGACCCTTAAGTTAAGGACACTATTGTGTTGATAGGGACCCTTTAAGTTGATAGGAGCCCTTTTAAGTTGATAGGGGCTCTTTTTGGTTGAGAGGGACCCTTTTAAGTTGATAGGGACCCTTTAAGTTGAAAGGGGCCCTTATTTATTGATAGGTGCCTTTTTGAGTTCATGGGACCCTTTTAAGTTGATAGGGGCCCTTAAGTTGATAGAGGCTCTTATGGGTTGATAGGGAGCCTTTTGAGTAATAGGGATCTGGATATTGTTTTCCTTTGTCTATTCAATAAGATAACATGACCATCTTGTCCAACACAAAGTAAGCAGATGATGCACGGAGTGGTGAGGTTGAGGAGTCATGTCTTTAAATGCATATTTTTGTTTCACGTTATCTGATTGTTGTGTACAAGTAGCACAATCACAGTCACTGCCTCTAGCAAGGCAGTGCGAGAAACTTATCATTGGTTCTTTGTCCGTCACATTGGAAGCTGCCACAATATTCACTCATATCACGATTTGTGTTTCCATAGCAACGTGAACTTAATTGATGCTGTTTTTGTTTGTTATTTCAGAATCAATGTTTTCTTCTGCAATTAAATAACACACACAAACTCTTCTCTATCTTCTACTGTTTCCAGGATAGAGGTGTGTCTCAAAATGTAGTCATGTCAACCTATGCATGTGATTAACATTGTTTTTCAACAGTACTTTAATTGTATTATGTAACCATTTGGAGGTGGTCCACTCAAATTCTGTCTACCAAATGATAAACATGTGTAGCTAATCCAAAATATGGTTGTAATTCTACATGTTTGCATATTTTCACGAATACTTAGTTCCAATCTTACATGGAAGGTCACCAACTTGCAGTTCAGGCAAAATGTTGGTCGTGTTCGGACCCTGATTGCGTCACATGTACAGATGTAGTACATATGTACAGAGCTGTGTACAGCGTCATCTATACATCCCCTCACCAGCACTCCAGCCCCACTCCATTCTGCCCCTCTTCTCTAGTCTTGCTGACGGGGCTGTGTGTTGATGGAGTGGTGCATATATTGTAGTGCAATTTATTTATAAATTTTTGTGCAAAGGAACACCCCTCGGTCTTCATGATCGTGGCTTCACATGTAACTAGAACGAGGCTAGATACATGACAGTTCACCAGTCACTTATTTGATCAGTTGTGCTCGTCTTGTAAATATGAACTTTTCAATCCCTTCATAAAACCATCTGGTTGTGATTTTATTTACGTTTCACTTGTGAGTTATTTATTTGTAGTTATTTATTATTTAATATATGATGTACAATTAGTAGAAACATGCTCATGTTGCCTAGAGCGAGATAATTGCTTCCGCAGCAAAAACAAATATTCAGTCCCTCTCGTAGGCAGCAGGTTGTGATGCTGCAGGGTAGAGTTATCTCCCTTTGCTTGGTGATTACAGAAATATTCCAAAATGGCTGTGACTCGCTTGCATGCATTTCCCCTATGGCTGACATCCTTTTGTTTGAGGTGATACCCGACAAGCCAACTGATCATACAAGTCTCTGCATCCCCTGGTGCCTGGCTATGTTCCTGATATTGTTTTAGCTGTACAGTTACCGAACCTGCCCGGTCGTTGACGTGTGTACCTACGGATGGATGGACAGACGGAGGAATGCTGTCTGACCTCCCATTCTACAGGAGTCAAAGGTCATGTCAATGTTCATGCATGGTCAGTGTTAACAATCATAATACAAAAATAAAATCATAAAAATAGATCCTTCGTTTTTGTCTTTGGTGCGAAGTGATACCAAGTCATTCTATTCTACCCCGGATCTTCGTGGGTGGGTGAGCGAGCGAGCAAGCGAGCTAGCTGCTCCAAGCAATATCATGGCAGGGACACTAAAACTGATTTCACATAATGTACCCATGCCCCCTACCCATTTAGAGAATCGAACCAAGGCTTCTTGAGTGAGGAGTGATGCCTTAACCACATGGCTACCGACCCGTGAAGATCCGGGATAGAATAGGTCTTCACCAACCATGCTTGCCGTTAAAGGTGACTATGCTCGTCGTAAAAGGCTCGCTGACTTGGTTGATGGATGTCATTGATCCCAATTGCGTGGATCGATGCTCATGATATCAATCACTGGATTGTCTGGTTCAGAATCGATTATTTACAGACCGCCGTCATATAGCTTGAATATTGCTGAGTGCCGCGTTAAACAACAAACCAACCACAAGGCTACCCCACTGCCCCTATTAAATATTCCAAGTGTAAAAAGACAAAACTCAAAAGTCATGTATATTCTGAAATAGATATTTATTTCATACAACTTCTATTGTGTCTGTATCACATGAAAGGCAGTTTGTCAACAAAGTTACATCTGTACATTTACACAACAGAAATATAACAAAATTTTCATGGGATATGACAGTGATATCAGATCTTCGATGTGAAGACTTAAGATGCTGTGAAGTACCTTGACCAGAGATCCAGTACTCGACACTAACAACTTCAAATTTAAACCTTGTGTTAGTATATAGGACATGCAGCCACAAGTGTGATAGTGAGTGAGTATGCTCCTATGCTGCATTTAGCAATATTCCAGCAATATCACAGCAGGGGACACCAGAAATGTACTTCACACATTATACCCATGGGGGAATCAAACCCGGTTCTTTGGCATGACGAGCGAAGTCGTTAACCACTAGGCTACCCCACTGCCCATAAAAGTGATAGGCTCTTGTTACCAGTTCCCAAGATTGCTGTTGTATCGTGATAAAACGTTAAAACAGACGTTGTACACACTTTGAAGCCCATTTTCTAGGTCTACACTTTGTTGTTAGTGCAGTGCATGAAATGAGACGTCTCCACGTAGGTCAATCAACTATTAGCATGATATAACTAATAAAAAACTAATTACAAGTCATACAAACAGCGCTCTGTTATGTGGCTTTAGTTAGTGGAGTTCTTTTACTGCAATTGTACTGTACACTAATGATAGGAGTTTTGAATGAGGTCACAGGTCTCTTGACCTGTAATTAGAGTAAGTGAGGGAGTTGGGTTTAACGCCGCTTTGAACAGTATTCCAGTTATATCGCAGCGTGTCATGTTAATGTTGGAGGAAAGCCCGAAGTGATGCAGGTCTCCGATGTTTACCACTTCAGTGAAACCCACGAGCACGGGTATGGTGCTGACAAACCTAGAAACATAATCGGGGCGAACCGGGATTCGAACCCACAATCATAGGTTTCTGGTGTGACCAAGAGATGCAACCCTGCACAGTGAAATGTGGCGCCTAAGACGACTTGGCCACCCGTGGCCCCCATACAGCCCCGGAATCAACATGGGGTTACAAGATGAGTGAGAGAGACTTCTCTCCTGGCATAGGACATGGAGCTATCTGTGGCTATGTTAACTTCAATGATTCTACTTGTGAGTAGTGAGTATCCTGACTCTATTCCATTTATATGACAACATGTCGGCTTGATGTGGGAGGAAAGTCCAAAGTGATGCAGACCATCGATGTTTACCACTTTGGTGAAACCCATGAGCACAGGTATGGTGCTGGCAAACCTAGAAACATAATCAGGCCAAATCTGGGATTCGAACCCACAAGGAAAATTTTCGGTGCACTTCTAAGGGATGCAACTCTGCACAGTGTATTGTGTCACCTTGGACAACTGTGCCATCATGTCCTGATGTTTCTTGGTGCCAAGTCTCACACACATTCTTCTTATACTGAGACCTTCTGTGTTGTTTAATGCTGAGACATAAAATGACCATGAAACATACTTGTGACAGCAACTAAAACGCTCTTTTCTCATTCATCATGACAATAGCAGTGTGGAAAATATGAGACGTATTCTCTTAAAATATTTACAAAATCACTGAAATTCGATTCATACTCGAATGATTTATCAGATATATTCAATAACTGTGACCAACTGTAATAAAATATATTTCAAAGCTGCCAGATTCCATAATTTACATGATGTTGAGAAGCATGACAAATGTACATATTCCAGTCTGAGTATAGAGAAGGTTTAGGGTTGAAACTTCATGCATAAGGAGTCATACATTTCAAAATATCTGAGTGAAAGTTACCTGTGTCGACAAGGTTTTAGACAAACAAATAAATAATCACAAAGTTCCAAGAACTTGTATCATCATAAGTATGAATACAAAGATATCACTTTGGACCCTGATTGTTCTTTTGTTGTGGTTACACTTTCTGAAAAAGTTTAACCAATTTGGAGAAGAATCCATGAATTACGGATTATCTGTCCCCAAGTGAATTAATGTTGTTATTTTCAACTGCAATTCACAAGGGACATGCATCGCAATTCCTTGTTGCTTATAGATTATTCTTTGTATTATCCCGTCTTTTTTTCCAACTAAAATGTATGTCCTGATCTCTTATGGAAACATCAGCTAAGTCTATTGTTGGAATGACGTCACTTGAAATCGTCTTGAACAATGGATGACTCCATCTTCCTTAATTTGCAACAATGATTTGATGTGACGTTACGCTGCCAGGGGCCTCTTAGCAAACAACGATGACAAGGGAACAATTATTGCAATGCTCAGTGAGAAGTACTGAAAAAACCATCATCTATATCAGTGCCCTTATGGGTAATATATCAATGCAAGAAACACAACAGTGGCTTGTTTTCACTCTGTACCTCCAAGTGGAATATATCTGGGGTTAACTTGCAACAATCCTAACCTTAAGATGTATCACAATTTAAAGCGAGTGAGCGAATGAGTGAGTTGGGTTTAACGCCGCTTTTATTCCAGTTATATCGCGGTGTGTCAGCTTAATGTGGGAGGAAAGCCCGAAGTGTGGCAGGTCTCAGACCTTTACCACTTCGGTGAAACCCACGAGCACGGGTATGGCGCTGTCAAACCTAGAAACACAATTGGGGCGAACCGGGATTCGACCAACAATCATAGGTTTCTGGCGTGCCCATGGCAACTCTACACAGCGAATTGCGGCGCCTTAGACGAATGGGCCACCCTTCCTCCGTATCACAATTCATAGAACTTTCTTACATAATTCTGATAGCTGTAGCAGTGTCAGAAGCTCAGTCGTGAATGGAGCCAGCCAAGATGTGCACAATCAAAATAAGTATAAGGACATAGTGTAAATCCTCATAAAAGTATCCTCGTAACTGGCTGTGGTTGTGACACTACATTTGCTTTGTGCATGTGGACCCAGGTAATATAGTAATCTTTCATGTAACCATGGTAACACAGTTCTACGTAATACAGTAATCTTGAAGCTATTCCAACATTCCAACACACAGAAAGGTCTTGTTCATCAAAAGTATCAAATAAGGTCGCATTTTAGAGATTATTTAGAAAAGCTCTTTTACAATATTGATGAAGCTCTTTCCTGCTCTGTTTACACTGTTACAATTCCTTGCTGAGACAGGTTATAATGGCAGGTACACTCTATTGGCTATCTTTAACTATGTTGGACAAATAGCCACTTTCTTCAGCAATCCGGTACTGACCTAGACCACAGGAGTCCGTATCTAAAAATAGACGCCCTCATGCATATTCATGACCATCTCCACACGCGAGCCTTCGGGCTCGCGTGTGGAGATGGTCATGAATATGCATGAGGGCGTCTATTTTTAGATACGGACTCCTGTGCCTAGACATGACATCAAATGCTAGACCTGCATCACTATCGAATTCCGATATGACTAAACAGCGAGACAATATAGCCCCATCTGAGTCAAGTGTTTGGCACATACACTCAAATATCTGCACCCAGCAAACAAATTCCTGCGACTAATCACATCCTTTTTATGATTTGTTTGCTATAAACAGGAATTTGTACACCGGTAGTGTACAAGATGGATCACTACAGTGATCCATACAAGACGATCACAAGAAGGATCACTATGTCTAAGGTTTGTTTGTTTTTTGTTTTACGCCGCACTCAGCAATATTCCAGCTATATGACGGTGGTCTGTAAATGATAGAGTCTGGTCCAGACAATCCAGTGATTGATATGAGCATCGATCCACGCAATTGGGATCAATGACATGCTTCAACCAAGTCAGCAAGCCTGCACTAGTTCTAGGATAGACTGATGGTGTGCCGAAAAGCGTGCAAGGTTTAATGACTGCATGAATGACAATTCATGCAGTCAATGATTGGTACACCATATTATTTCAATAGCTAGCTGGTCCAGTATAAATATAAAATTACTGGCCCAGATCATGTTTCACTAGCATTTGTCTAGTTGGCCGGCGTATTTGTCGAACCCTGCTATCTATCTTATAACTGTCTACATTCAGCATGGTAAAGTACTAACAGGGTCAACTGCAGCATGAGAAGCAAGTGATGTCATATCAACATTACATTATGATGTCATATCAACATTACATTATGATGTCATATCAACATTACATTATGATGTCATATCAACATTACATTATGTCATTACCGTATTCGACATAATAAGCGCCCAGGGCACTCTCAAAATTAGAAATAGGGGGCTCTTATTAGAATATTAATATTATTTTGGTGAGAAAACAGAGTTGAAAGATCATAAAATTCGTGGTTTTGCTGACATCCTGAAATGTTTATATACGACAGATATATTTTTCAAGAATTTAATTGCCCATAATTGAGGGTGCATATAACACACAAGTGCGTAGTATACACAAATAAATAAGTCTTGTGTACATTGATCAATAGGAAGGGGTGCTAATTGGGATTGTTCACTAGCAAATATATTAGCAAATATCGCCGTGGGCGCTTATAAGAGAGGGGCGCTTATTACGTCGAATACGGTATACACAAACAGCCTGACCAACCAAAATGTATGGTATGGATTATTATGAGATAGCAACTGTCCAATCAGATATTTTGACACTAATTGCATTGAATGCGATGCAAAAATGACAAAAGATTTATGGAAATAAGGACTATCAGTTCAAAATAAATAATTTTTTTTAAATTCGTCAACAAGGTCACTTAAATGAGGCTCCTCGACAAATCCAGGACCCAGCTCAGAGAAACACGAAATAACATCTACACTCATGATCCTTCATTTTTCAGTGTTGACCAACCGATCTGTGTACTGGAATGTTTCGTATTATGCAGTTTTGGCAAATAAAATATCAGTTATAAGCATTTTCTAACACATGAACACAAAGCGCACATTCTGCAAAACGACACTACAGAAGATAGGTTCTCCGTTTAACAGAATCCCTTTGAGACATTTTTCACAGTCTAGACACCGAGTCACAAATAGAAACAGACGGCGCTCCTATCAATCCTGTGACATTTCTCACAGCAATGTCAACACATAACAAACATTTGAAAATAGTTCTGTGTTATCCGACACACAATCAGAAATGCATATCATAAAAATATATAAATCTGTATTTCAATTAAAACAAATGAAATGGAAAATATCTAACATTAATATCACATCATATTGCATCAAACATGGGAAAATCGGGATGTGGTACAACAAAAACACAAAATGTTTCTTCCGACTTCGGAGTCCTGTGACATATATATATGTTTGTATATGTATATATGTATATATATATATGTATGTATATATATACACCCTGTCTGAATATCCCGCAAGTAAAGAAATCCAAGCTAAATGATATTTTTATATAAAAAGGCCCCAAGTTCACTGAACTGCTTCTTAAAACATATGATTTGGATAATTCATTTTACTTCTATTACATGCGTTCTGTTGAAATTTTGCAAAGCAAAAAGAAGACTTCCATGAACAGTATGCAAGTATCAAATATCATAATATCATAATGCATACAGGAATATTATCAACTCCCTTGTGATTGCAAAACAGTTTCAAAATTACCTGAATACTACATAAACTAAACCATTTTCTCAGGAGTGGATTTGTCAATCCAGACAACATATATTTGTGCTACGCATAGCAACTCATTTTTCAAAATTTGACCTTTGCATGCCATCATATTGCAATGAGGGTTACAGTGTCATGGTTACAAACTTGCAAAGTCAAGCATTTCTGAGATCTAGCGTACTAACGTACCTTGTCATTAACAAGAGTCTTTTGATCATGAGCATGTGTTTGTGACAATCTATGAATAATTGAAGCTTAACTTTATGTGAACTCAATTAATACAGCTCTAATTTAACAAAGACTTTCTGTGATTTGAAAGTTGCCTTGACAGTATTTCATACTGAAGTATGGGTTTACTACAGGAGGTGGGCCTACAAGGGACTGGAGAGTTTGACTGGGACTGGCCTCGGCAGCTCTCCAACTAGGGGTGCATGGATGGCATACCATGAATGGCATACCACGCATACCAGGTCACTGCCTCAAGGCTGGCTTCATGGTGTGCCCTATCTTTGTAATATCTTTGCATACCCTATTTTCGAACAGTAAAGAGTAAGACCACATTGGTGTTATTTTGAGGGATGAAAGAATCCAAGCTTATATTCATGTTCATATGGGTAGGTCTTCAGCTATTGAAGTCAGTTGTATACCGATAGGAAGAGTCTTCTTGATAACAGGCGTGACCTCCATTGCCTTGTCTTTTGACTTCTGCTACACTCGAGTGATTTCAAATGTTTTCGAACACCTGATTGGTTGGTACATTAGCGGTGTTTCCATTAATGAACATCATGAACAACATAATAGTGTCAGTCAGCATTAAAACTACATAATTAATTGAAACCAAAAATGATTCATTTACAATGGAGACCATGACATTGTCAAATAATAATAAATTTAAAATGTTTTACAGAAACGTAGACACTGTTTTACTTTCACATTTCATTATGACAGGACCAAAATTCGTAAAAAAGACAGACTACTCTGACAGGTGATCTGTGCCTCACATGAACCCAATGTTGACAGGTCTGATGTGCGCACTGTCATGTGAATTCCGTTGCTTTTATGATGTCACCCCTATCGTTACAACACAACAAATAATGATCAATGTGGCTTTTCGAAAATAGGGTATTCGACAATATATAGTCAGCAGCCATTGTGACCATCGAATCCCCATGTTTGTTGAAAAAACACAGGGTATAGATTATCATGCCTGGAATCCTACTGAGATGAACTGTCCACCATTGATGGATCAAAGAACACTCAGAGGTTCACAATTCAGGGAATACATCTGTGACTGACCTACACCCGACCAGTGATCGACCACCATACAAGACCACTGTCTGGACACCCGACCAGTGATCGACCACCATACAAGACCACTGTCTGGACACCCGACCAGTGATCGACCACCATACAAGACCACTGTCTGGACACCCTACCAGTGATCGACCACCATACAAGACCATTGTCCTGACACCCTACCAGTGATCGACCACCATACAAGACCACTGTCTGGACACCCTACCAGTGAACGACCATCATACAAGACCATTGTCCTGACACCCTACCAGTGATCGACCACCATACAAGACCACTGTCTGGACACCCTACCAGTGAATGACCATCATACAAGACCATTGTCCTGACACCCTACAAGTGATCGACCATCATACAAGACCATTGTCTGGTCACCCTACCAGTGTCAGATTGACCACCATACAAGACCACTGTCTGGACACCCTACCAGTGATCGACCACCATACAAGACCACTGTCTGGACACCCGACCAGTGATCGACCACCATACAAGACCAATGTCCTGACACCCTACCAGTGATCGACCACCATACAAGACCATTGTCCTGACACCCTACCAGTGATCGACCATCATACAAGACCATTGTCTGGTCACCCTACCAGTGATCGACCACCATACAAGACCATTGTCCTGACACCCTACAAGTGATCGACCACCATACAAGACCACTATCTGGACACCCTACCAGTGATCGACCACCATACAAGACCACTGTCTGGACACCCGACCAGTGATCGACCACCATACAAGACCACTGTCTGGACACCCGACCAGTGATCGACCACCATACAAGACCAATGTCCTGACACCCTACCAGTGATCGACCACCATACAAGACCATTGTCCTGACACCCTACAAGTGATCGACCATCATACAAGACCATTGTCTGGTCACCCTACCAGTGTCAGATTGACCACCATACAAGACCACTGTCTGGACACCCTACCAGTGATCGACCACCATACAAGACCACTGTCTGGACACCCTACCAGTGATCGACCACGATACAAGACCAATGTCCTGACACCCTACCAGTGATCGACCACCATACAAGACCAATGTCCTGACACCCTACAAGTGATCGACCACCATACAAGACCAATGTCCTGACACCCTACCAGTGATCGACCACCATACAAGACCACTGTCTGGACACCCTGCCAGTGTTAGATCGACCACCACACAAAGACCAAGAGAAACTCATACATCCTTCAAAGAGTGTATCACAGTGACACATAATCCTAATAACAAATGTACTCCAAGCAAAAATAACTTCTATGTATCAATACACAAAATATAGTATTTGTCCAATACAAAAGAATAACTTAGTTGCTCTATGTGATTATTTAGACATCTTCACCTGGAATATTGTAGGTGGAATACTGGCTTTTGCCAGGCCATACTCCTGTTATTGTCATCTCAATGTTCATCACATTCGTTTTTCTTCCTAATGGGACTGTCAGCACCAGATTCCCATCATTGATGATGATATTCTGACAGAAGCTGTTCATCATTCTGCCCATTGGCCAGCAAACTCTCTTGGTCACCATCAAAATTATCATAAGCGGTCACACTCCTCAGCTCCCCATTAGAATTGGACACCTGCTCTTTCCGCGCACTGGCTAACGTTGATATACTAATATTCTGGTCCTTGAATGCATTAAGTAAGAATATTCCCGATATAATCGTCAAGAACCCGCACATATTGCCCAGAATATCCATCACCTTCATGTTGCCGAACTCTTTGTAGAGAATGAGTGATGCGGCTATCACAGCAGATGTGAAAAACACGTAGTAGATTGGCGTCACAACCGCCGTGTTGAAAGTGTCAAGAGCACGATTGAGATAGTTGAGCTGGATGAGTATGCACACTACCACCACAAATAGGAGAATGTATGTCAGGTAGTTTGTGAACTCGTTCCTCCCACGGAACGTCTCCTTGATGGCCACGCCCACTCCCTTGCAGCCCATGACGGTGAAGGATCCCAGGACGGAGCAGATGGTGATGTATACCAGAGGATTCTTGTTGCCGTAGCGAGGAACGAAGTAGAATATCCCAATGACAGCTGCCAATATGACGAGGATGCCAAAAACGATGAACACTGAAAGAGCAAGTGAAACCACGCTCAGAAAAATGTCACATATCACCATAAAATTATTGTTCGCGATGTAGTGAGAAAAGGTACAACTTTATGGATTGGAACTTGATAAAGGTGTAAGAATCCACATCGACACGACACTACAGCGTTAGAAACTAACAGTTTTAGACCACTAGTCCTTATAATGATAACACATAGCAAAACCCTTAAAAAGGGCAAATTTCTACTAGTCCTTATGATACCTTAACTATCGGGCAGTGAGGTGAGGTGAGGTGAGGTGAGGTGAGGTGAGGTGAGGTGAGGTGAGGTGAGGTGAAATTGGGTTTAATGTCGCGTCCAAGATTATAGCACTTATATCGCGACCTGCATGCACGTGTGTGGGTGTGGCTGCTTTGTACTAGTCCAGACTGATGCCGATTTATAGTGCTAGCTCACTGAGATACCATGCCGCAGTTTAACATGAATACCCCACTCAGACACAGTATACTGACTCCGAGCCGACCAGTCCTTGATTTAGCCCCTTAATGCCGATCGACAGACAGGGTAACATCAAGTACCATCTTTTAATGTCTTTGGGTATGATGCGGCCTGGGATTGAACCCCGGACCTTCCGCTCTCCGGGCAGACGCTCTACCACTGGGCCACGGAGGCGGTCACAAAGAGCTAGAAGTGAATTGATCTGAAACAACACATCAGACTTGAAGTCTATGTAAAATAATTAGGGTTTGCGAGAGCCAGTCCCTCTAGATTTTCACTAGTCTTGGACCAACAGACTAGTGTTAAGACCTGAAGCTAGTTCCACAAAGTGATCTTAGCACTACGATAGTCGTAAGCCTATGTTAAAGGATGGGCATTACGATCATCTTAGCACTAAGATCACTTTTTTGTGGAACGGGACCCTGGATGGGTATGCAATTTGTACTACTCACTTGGCTCGATGAGTTTGTCCTTGAGAGCCTCCATGCTGCCGACCTCCTGCTCCTTGGGGGAGTGGATGACCATGACGGTGGAGCCGAGGATGCACAGCAGACACCCCACCTTCCCCAGCAGGTTGAGGTGCTCCTTCAGCACCCGTGACGCCAGCACAGCGCTGCAACATCACAACACCATAGCAATGAAACACTGAGTAATGTTTAACCAGGGGTTCATCCAAATTTCCTAACTAGTGAGTGAGTGAGTATCGTTTTACGCCGCTTTTAACCCGGGTCTTCGGCGTGACGAGCGAACGCTTTAACCACTAGGCTCCCCGACCTCCCCAATTTCCAAACTAAGCACCCTTGGCAGGCAAATGGGGAATAGTGTTATTTTGCCCCAACTTGGAATATTTGGAGTTTACAGTATCTTAACAGTGCACTTAATGCAAAAGATGTAAATGTGAAACCAACACCAAAGAATCTTCATCTCATAAAGTCACATCTGCAGAGCCATACAATGACTAACACTAATCAATTAATAACATGAAGTGGAAATTTTATTATAGACAATATTCCAGATACATAATGACGGCCCGTAAATAATCCAGTCTGACCAGGCAAACGTGTCACAAGTATTAGCATCGATTGCCTCCTTTCGGGGTACATGTCACAGAGCCTGACCTCCACATCCAATATTGGATACAGATTCCATCCCAGAATCCCCAATGGGAAAACCCAAAATCATTAAGTTTATTTGTTTGTTTTTTAACGCTGCACTCAGCAATATTCCAGCTATATAACGTCGGTCTGTTAATATTCGAGTCTGGACCAGACAATCCAGGGATTGACATCATGAGCATAGATTCACACAATTGGGATATGAAGTCCTACATCAACAAAGTGTGTGGCAAGCCTGACCACCCGATCCCGTTAGTCGCCTCTTATGACAAGCATGTGTTGCTGAAAGAACTATAGACACGGACTAGTTTAGACTAATTACTGGTGACATTATAATAAGTGTTATGTCCTTCAGTGTGAAATACTGAGTTTTCTGAAGTTGAGTAAAGGGATAATTAATTTTCATTGAAGTCACTTATACAGTTGATATTTTACTGCAGTGAACACACCATTTTGACAAAACTATTGTCTTACAAGAGATACCTCCCCACAAATTATCTCCCCTTAATAATAATTGTCTTGCCTGCACACAAACTGTTGACTTTCTATTTATGTTAGTCCCAGATTGACAAGGAAAAATAATGACATAATGGAGGTACTATCAGCTCATGCCAATCCTTGAAAATGTATTTAAACTCATTTTCCCATTTCGTTGATCGAAACTGTTCCTTTCACAAAGCATGTCTCCATTCGCTTGGAGATATCAAGAATAATTCTTGTTAAACTTCATGTTGTATAATCATATGCAATGTATGATAAATCAACTTACCCTTGTATCTTTTGACATAAAAAATATCAACACAAGTCGATAAATGTTTTAACATCTGAGGCTTGCCGACGACTTTTATTGACAAGTGTTGATATATTTGATATCAAATGAAACACGGTTCGATTATCTACATGTTGAACAATCTACTTACAAGGCCAAACAGGAACGTCAATGTCGAATCACCGTTGCCACATATTGGCCAGCACTGTCATGCAAACTAATAGTGAGAAGCTATCCAACTCTAATGTTTCCACTTAATCCAATAGAATTAATGAACAAGTAAGGCGTATAGTCAGTGTTGAATGATAGAGTAGCCTCCCTTTGACATTTGTTAAACGAAATGTGTCATTGCCAGTTGCTTCCATCTCTACAGTGCAGTTCACCTACAGTGCAGTTGCCTACAGTGCAATCGCCTACAGTGCAGTTCACCTACAGTGCAATCGCCGACAGTGCAGTTTGCCTACAGTGCTGATCACCTACAGTGCAGTTGCCTACAGTGCAGTTCGCCGACAGTGCTGATCACCTACAGTGCTGATCACCTACAGTGCAGTTGCCTACAGTGCAGTTCACCTACAGTGCAATTGCCGACAGTGCAGTTTGCCTACAGTGCTGATCACCTACAGTGCAGTTGCCTACAGTGCAGTTCGCCTACAGTGCTGATCACCTACAGTGCAGTTCGCCTACAGTAAAGCTGGTTTTTACTGCACTTTGCCTACACCATGAACAATGCACCCCTTACATTAATTGTGGACTAGTCTAAATTATATGTTATTATTATGTTACTCTCTGTTGACTAATCTGTGAGTTGCTTTGAAACATGTTGTTGTTCACATATTTCCTCTCAACATCCAGTAGATGAAAGGGGAACTTGATGCATTTTCATCAGTTATTAATCTTTTTTCTGTGTCAAAAATGTTTTACATTTTTTCATTGTAAGGATTTTACAAATGTCAAATGTTTTGCTTTATCAAAAATTTAACATATATATGTAATAACATTACAATGTGAGGAGAGTACAATTAACTACAAGTAAAAATTATTCCTTGTTTGTTGACAATGGCATTGCATGGAGAAGTTCATTACGGTATAGGTAAACAGGCTTTGCTATTGTGTCCCCTGAACCATGAAGCTGTTTTGATAACACTGTAGGCCAAGTGCACTGTAGGCCAAGTGCACTGTAGGCAATAGAAGAAGTCAGCCTCCAGTGTGTTCTGGGGGGTACGGATGGCCCAGTTGTCTAAGGCGCTGCGATTCACTGTGCAGAGTTGTGTCCCTTGGGCACGCCAGAAACCTATGATTGTGGGTTCGAATCCCGGTTCGCCCCGATTATGTTTCGAGGTTTGTCAGCACCATACTCGTGCTCGTGGGTTTCACCGAAGTGGTAAACGTCTGAGACCTGCATCACTTCGGGCTTTCCTCCCACATTAAGCTGACACGCCGCGATATAACTGGAATACTGTTAAAAGCGGCGTTAAACCCAACTCACTCACTCACTCACTCACTCACTCACTCCAGTGTGTTCTCTCACCTTATAAGTACACTTAGGGCACCCAGAGGAGTTACCAGCGTGGCTGGGGCGAAGGCGTAGGCAGCAAAGTTTGCAAATTCTCCAACAATCACTGAAACATAATCAGAAACATATAAAACCTTTCTCTTTCTTTAAAATAGATAGTAAATAATTGAGTGGACCAGACAATCCAGTGATTGATATCATGAGCAACGATCCATGCTTTTGAGGTAAGATAATCTGCAGTCAAATAAGTCACCAAGCCTGATGATCCAATCCATTAAGTTGCCGATGACCAGCATAGGTTTTTGGGGACCTATTCTAACCCCAATCTCAATGGGGTTCACAACATAAAAGACATGAATATGTTTGTTTGTCTTTTGTTTGTATGTTGTTTACCGCCGCACTCAGCAATATTCAAGCTATTTGGCTGCAGTCTGTAAATAATGGAGTCGGGACCACACAATCCAGTGATTGACATCATGAGCATCGATCTACGCAATTGGGATACGATGACATGCATCAACCAAGTCAGCGAGCCAGACTACAAGATCCCATTGGTCGCCTCTTACGACAACATAGTTGCCTTTTAAGGCAAGCATGGGTTGCTGAAGACCTATTCTACCCCGGATCTTCACGGGTCACATGAATATGTGTAGGGAATGCCATGCTAACCTTCGCCACAAGGAAATCAACATGGATGAAAGTCCACCTACAATGTGTTACTCTTTCTAAACCAGGATAGTTATTGTGCCTTGATCCATGATTTGTGTATTGCCCCAGCCCAACATGACATTCAACATGTGCTGCCTTTCACATCCGTCAAACACCAATATGAAAATACTTCGAGAAATTACTTTTCACTGTATGAAATAACAACATTATTCAAATGGAACCTATTTCGGTGTACATCTACCATGACATGATGTATGTGAGTGTGTACATCTACCATGACATGATGTATGTGAGTGAGTGAGTGAGTGGGTGGGTGGGTGGGTGGGTGAGTGAGTGAGTGAGTGAGTGAGTGAGTGAGTGAGTGAGTGAGTGAGTGAGTGAGTGAGTGAGTGAGTGAGTGAGTGAGTGAGTGAGTTGGTTTAACGCCGCTTTTAACACTATTACAGTTATATTGCGGAGTGTCAGCTTAATGTGGGAGGAAAGCCCCAAGTGATGCAGATCATAATACTAAATTCATTAGTATTCATTAAGTTCATTATGTAAATTCATTCCGTAACATAATACTAAATATGTGCTGCCCCAAAGACCAAAAGCAATTTTAAAAGCCAAAAAACACTAATGGGGGGACGATACCTGGAGGCATCGGTAGATCGTAATGTTTTACTTCTCGATACAAGTATCTATCACAGTCGCACACTTAGTAAAAAAATATCGATTCTGACCTCAAATGTTTGTTTTAATAACTGTTCCACTGAACACTAATCAGTAGTGCAAGTAAACAGTGAAAACAAATATTTTCATTTGTTGTGCCATACTTGACACACTGCCAACTGTAAATTGTCAGTGTGCCAGGTATTTGGTCATCATGTCCTTGAAAAAGATGGCCTACACACCACAGGTAAGAGCACATGCATGTATCGTGATACATAACAGATCGTGAGGAAGGTATCGGAATACGTATCAGATCTCACAGTTGGTGTATTGTCCCAGCCCTAACACACTATCTATCTCATTTGAGGGTAATCAATAAAATCTACAAATTTACATTTTTATGTATGCTTACCAATTATCATAATTTAGCATGTTTATTCAGCTCTAGTTAACAAAATATGATTAAATCGTCTGTGGTGAATGTGCATGCCAATGTATGCATGACACGCGCTGGTGTGGAATTTTGTTTCTCTTATAGACCAGACTAATTTTTTAAAATTATTTTACAGATTTTCTGGGTCATTTTACCAAGGGCACAAACAATTTACAGTAAACTACGCTTAAAATATACTCAAAGGGACCACTAATTTTAGTTATTATAACTGTTGTTCAGCACAAACACAGCATATAAACAGCACAAACACAGCATATACACAGCATATACACAGCACATACACAGCACAAACACAGCATATACACAGCACATACACAACATATACACTGCACATACACAACATATACACAGCACAAACACAGCACATACACAGCACAAACACAGCATATACACAGCACATACACAGCACAAACACAGCATATACACTGCACAAACACAGCACATACACAGCATATACACAGCACATACACAGCACATACACAGCATATACTCAGCATATACACTGCACATACACAGCATATACACTGCACATATTCAGCACATTCACAGCACATACACAGCATATACACAGCACATACACAGCACATACAAAACACATTCACTGCACATACACAACATATACACAGCATATACACTGCATATACACAGCACATACACTGCATATACACAACACATACACAGCACAAACAGAGCATATACACTGCACATACACAGCATATACACAACACATTCACTGCACATACACAGCATATACACTGCATATACACAGCACATACACTGCATATACACAGCACATACACTGCATATTCACAGCATATACACAGCACATACACTGCACATAAACAGCACAGACAGCACATACACAGCATATACACTGCACAAACACAGCACATACACAGCATATACACAGCACATACACAGCACATACACAGCATATACACTGCACAAACACAGCACATACACAGCATATACTCAGCATATACACTGCACATATTCAGCACATTCACAGCACATACACTGCACATACACAGCACATACACAACATATACACAGCATATACACTGCACATATTCAGCACATTCACAACACATACACAGCACATTCACTGCACATACACAACATATACACAGCATATACACTGCATATACACAGCACATTCACAACACATACACAGCACATACACAGCACAAACAGCATATAGACAGCACATTCACAGCACATACACTGCACATACACAGCATATACACAGCACATACACAGCACATTCACTGCACATACACAGCATATACACTGCATATACACAGCATATACACTGCACATACACAGCACATAGACAGCATATACACTGCACAAACACAGCACATACACAGCATATATACACTGCATATACACAGCACATACACAGCAAATACACAGCATATACACAGCACATACACAGCATATACACTGCACATACACAGCACACACAGCACATACACAGCACATACACACAGCACATACACAGCATATACACTGCACATACACAAACAGTAAACTACGGTTATAACGAACTCAAAGAGACCACTAATTTTAGTTCTTTATATCCATAGTTCTTCATAATCATTTCGACTGTCAGATATCTTGGATCAAGTCATGTGACCACATCATGTTACTCGATAAATAACGAAAGTGTGCACTGTACACTGTCCAATGCTTATTCATCATCACTTGCAAGGTGTGTCTGCCATCATGAGTTTATCAATACTGAATTTCTTCACTAGTCGTCGCATTTTATACACAAGTATATCCACTTCAAGGGCTATAGCCTAATCACTGTGTCACTATTGTTAATTGAGGACGTAACTGAATGACAAGGTGTCAGTACTTAAGAGTAAATCAGTTGCCTTCAATTCTTTATTTCCGCTTTGAACAGCCGCACATGGTCATAAGCTGATGTTTTGATAGGCAGATTGGTGACACGTGAGGAGCACAGCTCGGGGATCAACAGTTAAACTTAAACATTATCGTTGACAGAGTACACACGGGACCACAAAGTGGGTACGCTGTATCCGTTACTTCGTTATAAGCATGTTCGTCACATCCATCAATTTTCTATAACAAAATATATAGCAAACGGCCGAGACCAAACGAACAGTTCGTTATAAGAGTGTTTCTCATAAACGTAGTTTATTGTAATTATAATAAAACTTGGCATTTTTTAAAAACTGAGGGTCGGATCAGCTGTAAATTAAATATAAAAACCTGTCCAACCTTCTCTATCAACACAGCCATGCATATAACACAGCCTTACTACCAAGTCTCTGATCAATGTAGGTGAAAATAAACTTGTTTGAGTTACGCTAACTGTTGAGGTAAGCTGAAACTTAAACCACAAATCAATCTGAAACTTAAACCTCAAATCAATCTTAACTGTGAACTTCAAAGGCTCCTCCTGCACAATGCTAAATCAATAGATCATGACAGAAAAAAAAATATCAGATTTCAAACAATTCCATTAGGAATACGTTGTCATGTGAGAGTTATTGACTGTGAGCTTGACATACATGTTATGGCGCCGTTCATTGATTTATTGACTGCCAAGACTTCCCGAGTCCTGTGTAGATCCAGTCATACATAATACATCTGAGGTTACCAGGATGATCTACCAAGTTCCGGCGCTACCTGTCTCTAGTTGCTATGGCAATGGCAGCATGGCACTTGGTTATTACCTGTAGTCATGAGTACTGAATACTTATACACAGTTATAGGGAGCAATGACCTGGCTAGGCTCAACAAGAACCTTGTGTTGTGCATGCATCTATTGGCTGCACTGCTAGACTCCACAAGAACTTTGTGTTGTGCATGCATCTAATGGCTGCACTGCTAGATTCAACAAGAACCTTGTGTTGTGCATGTATCTAATGGCTGCACTGCTAGACTCCACAAGAACCTTGTGTTGTGCATGTATCTATTGGCTGCTCTGCTAGACTCCACAAGAACCTTGTGTTGTGCATGTATCTATTGGCTGCTCTGCTAGACTCCACAAGAACCTTGTGTTGCGCATGCATCTATTGGCTGCACTGCTAGACTCCACAAGAACCTTGTGTTGTGCATGTATCTATTGGCTGCACTGCTAGACTCCACAAGAACCTTGTGTTGTGCATGTATCTATTGGCTGCTCTGCTAGACTCCACAAGAACCTTCTGTTGTGCATGCATCTATTGGCTGCACTGCTAGATTCAACAAGAACCTTGTGTTGTGCATGCATCTATTGGCTGCACTGCTAGACACCACAAGAACCTTGTGTTGTGCATGCATCTATTGGCTGCACTGCTAGACTCCACAAGAACCTTGTGTTGTGCATGCATCTATTGGCTGCACTGCTAGACTCCACAAGAACCTTGTGTTGTGCATGTATCTATTGGCTGCACTGCTAGACTCCACAAGAACCTTGTGTTGGGCATGCATCTATTGGCTGCACTGCTAGACTCCACAAGAACCTTGTGTTGTGCATGTATCTAATGGCTGCACTGCTAGACTCCACAAGAACCTTGTGTTGTGCATGTATCTAATGGCTGCACTGCTAGACTCCACAAGAACCTTGTGTTGGGCATGTATCTATTGGCTGCACTGCTAGACTCCACAAGAACCTTGTGTTGGGCATGCATCTATTGGCTGCACTGCTAGAGTCCACAAGAACCTTGTGTTGGGCATGTATCTAATGGCTGCACTGCTAGACTCCACAAGAACCTTGTGTTGTGCATGTATCTAATGGCTGCACTGCTAGACTCCACAAGAACCTTGTGTTGGGCATGTATCTATTGGCTGCACTGCTAGACTCCACAAGAACCTTGTGTTGGGCATGCATCTATTGGCTGCACTGCTAGAGTCCACAAGAACCTTGTGTTGGGCATGTATCTAATGGCTGCACTGCTAGACTCCACAAGAACCTTGTGTTGTGCATGTATCTAATGGCTGCACTGCTAGACACCACAAGAACCTTGTGTTGTGCATGTATCTAATGGCTACACTGCTAGACTCCACAAGAACCTTGTGTTGTGCATGTATCTATTGGCTGCATTGCTAGACTCCACAAGAACCTTGTGTTGTGCATGTATCTAATGGCTGCACTGCTAGACTCCACAAGAACCTTGTGTTGGGCATGTATCTATTGGCTGCACTGCTAGACTCCACAAGAACCTTGTGTTGGGCATGCATCTATTGGCTGCACTGCTAGACTCCACAAGAACCTTGTGTTGGGCATGTATCTAATGGCTGCACTGCTAGACTCCACAAGAACCTTGTGTTGTGCATGTATCTAATGGCTGCCCTGCTAGACACCACAAGAACCTTGTGTTGTGCATGTATCTAATGGCTACACTGCTAGACTCCACAAGAACCTTGTGTTGGGCATGTATCTATTGGCTGCACTGCTAGACTCCACAAGAACCTTGTGTTGTGCATGTATCTAATGGCTGCACTGCTAGACTCCACAAGAACCTTGTGTTGGGCATGTATCTATTGGCTGCATTGCTAGACTCCACAAGAACCTTGTGTTGTGCATGTATCTAATGGCTGCACTGCTAGACTCCACAAGAACCTTGTGTTGGGCATGTATCTATTGGCTGCACTGCTAGACTCCACAAGAACCTTGTGTTGCGCATGCATCTATTGGCTGCACTGCTAGACTCCACAAGAACCTTGTGTTGGGCATGTATCTATTGGCTGCACTGCTAGACTCCACAAGAACCTTGTGTTGTGCATGTATCTAATGGCTGCACTGCTAGACTCCACAAGAACCTTGTGTTGGGCATGTATCTATTGGCTGCATTGCTAGACTCCACAAGAACCTTGTGTTGGGCATGTATCTATTGGCTGCACTGCTTGACTCCACAAGAACCTTGTGTTGTGCATGTATCTAATGGCTGCACTGCTAGACTCCACAAGAACCTTGTGTTGGGCATGTATCTATTGGCTGCATTGCTAGACTCCACAAGAACCTTGTGTTGGGCATGCATCTATTGGCTGCACTGCTAGACTCCACAAGAACCTTGTGTTGGGCATGTATCTATTGGCTGCACTGCTAGACTCCACAAGAACCTTGTGTTGTGCATGTATCTATTGGCTGCACTGCTAGACTCCACAAGAACCTTGTGTTGTGCAAGTATCTATTGGCTGCACTGCTAGACTCCACAGGAACCTTGTGTTGTGCATGTATCTATTGGCTGCACTGCTAGACTCCACAAGAACCTTGTGTTGTGCATGTATCTATTGGCTGCATTGCTAGACTCCACAAGAACCTTGTGTTGGGCATGCTTAAGTCTCCCTATCAACATCACATAGAAGCTGACATACCGTATACAAAATGATATAACAATCTTGCAACGGAATTTCACCAATGGCTAAAAGTATCTGAAAACATCTGGACCCAGATTGCATGACTTAACCAAAATTAATTCACAATTATTGATCTCTTAGGTCCCTAACCAACAAGACTTGAGGCACATACAGTGAGTGAGTGAGTGAGTGAGTTTGGTTTAACGCCGCTTTTAACAGTATTCCAGTTATATCGCAGCGTGTCAGCTTAATGTGGGAGGAAAGCCCCAAGTGATGCAGGTCTCAGACGTAAACCACTTCCGTGAAACCCACGAGCACGGGTATGGTGCTGACAAACCTCGAAACATAATCGGGGCGAACCGGAATTCGAACCCACAATCATAGGTTTCTGGCGTGCCCAAGGGACGCAACTCTGCACAGTGAATCGCGGCGCCTCAGACGACTGGGCCACCCGTGCCCCTGGAGGCACATACAACTACACTTTGTTCTGTGAAGTATTACTGAATCTGTTTCTCGTCTAACGCCACACTCAGCAATATTCCAGCTATATGACGGAGGCCTGTAAGTATCAAGTCCGCACCAGACAATCCATTAACTGATATTATGAGGAATGGTCCACACTGTTGGGATACGACATCTCGCAATCAACCAACTCACTGATTCTGACCGCCCGGTACAATAAGTTGTCTCTATCGACCAGCAAAGGTTCGGGAGCAATTCTAACCCGGAATCCCCTCTGGGGTGTTATATTACTGGCTTCTAGACCAAAAGGTAACCGGAAACATGTAGTTCATTTGGTATTCAATTAAAAAAATTAATGATCTTATTTGATTTTGTTTGATTTCTGAGCAATTAAAATTTGGCACTGATATTCTGAATGAAAGACTATTCAATCTCAATGGAATGAAGGGATTTATTTCCATTTTCTTTGATTTGAGGGAAGGTTTACAGAATGTATTAGCTGACAGTCAAGTACTTTGTTGAAATTACCAAGCTGTTTATAACACTATATGTTGATGTTGGGAATATCGATTTGAACCCCCCGATAAGGTCCTTTAATGCTAGTGTTCAGTGCATATTCATTGCAATGACCAAACATCAAGGGAAATATCTGTATCGAGATCTGATTATTTAACAACTTGCTTCAGTAGCATCTTTAGATAAGTGTCTGCTCCAGGTAAGGGGTGGTTGGGTAGCCTAGTGGTTAATGCATTCCAAAGACCCGGGTTCGATTCCCCACATGGGTACAATGTCTGAAGCCCATTTCTGGTATCCCCTGCCGTGATATTGCTTGAACATTGCTAAAGCGGCCTAAAACCATTCTCGCTTACTGCTCCAGGTAATTGAATGACATATCAGCGTCAACACTTAATTCCCTGACAGGCCAATCCTTAACCAAGCATTAAAGAAGCATTATGCTCAATGGTCTGTGGCCTATATCTAGTCTAGGTCAAGGTGAGGGGAAGTGGGGCTTAACGTCACGCTCAAGTTAACTGCTTTTGTATAGTGATGAGCATGCATGTGTGTGGCTGCTTGTACTATTCCCGATTCGACTTTGTAGTGCTGGCCACCGAGATGCCATGCCACATTTTAACATGGGTGCCCCATTCAGACACAGGATACTGACTCCAAGCCGACTAGTCCTTGTTTTATCACCCTTAATGCTGACTGCCAGGCAGGGTAACAACAAGAACCATTTTTCAATGTCTTTTGGTATGACATGGACAGGGATTCAAACACCGATCTTTTCCTCTCCAGGCAGACACTCTATCCACTAGATGTCTAGGTCTAGTTGTGGTGTTTGGTTGCAGTTTGAGACAGTCTCTCCATGTGATTGGAATAATAGTGAACTGCTACACTGACATGCACAATACATACATATTTAAATTATTGTCAGCAGAAACAATATAATCTTTTGTGACCACAATGCATTACTCTCTTTATCATTATGTCTTGTTCGTTAGTTTGTTCGTCTGTAAATAATCAAGTCTGGACCAGACAATTCAGTGATTGACATCATGAGCATCAATCTATACAATTGTGATACGATGACATGCATCAACCAAGTCAGCAAGCCTGACCACCCGGTCCCGTTATTCGCCTCTTATGACAAACATAGTCGCCTTTTACAGCAAGCATGGGTTGCTGAAGACCTATTCTTTACCTGAATCTTTACAGGTCAGACATACATATCATCAACACAGAAAGTCCCTAGAGTGACATCATGCTCGGTAGTTACAGGCCATTGTAGGAGACAAACACAGATAAGGATGAGAAGACTTACTGAGGATCATGCCGGCCCACCACATCCATTCCTTGAGGTAACCATACCCGCCCTGGCCTGCAACGCAACACAATACACGGTAACAACAGTAGCACGGTCAGTGGCCAATCTCATTAAAATCAGATCTTCATTTTCGCTACTGCTACACAAAGATCTGAGGACATCCCATTACGGGTCACGTCAGAACGACCTTTCGCGAATTTTGACCGACCAATGAAATGACTGACAAGAAATCAACATTGGCCAATCAGAAGGCAGCTTTCTCGAACTTTACAACACTAGTTTCAAACTGGCGACTACGCTTCGAAACATATTTTGTCGTATTCTCGGTTAAAAAAATTAAAATTGATAAGAAGAACATTCTGAAATGGCTTATAGATGGCATAGATTGTATGGATATAATCATAAAACCCCTAACTGTCGTTTGGAATACCCTGTGTTAAATATATCGTGGTTGCATGATTAGAAAACACATTCCGACTGTCACTTTCATGATCTGGTAAGCGACGCTCTGATTGGTTGTATGAAAGGTCATTCTGACGTGACCCCTAATGGGATGTCCTCAGATCTTTGTTTAGCGATAGCGAGAACTAAGATCTGATTTTAATGAGATTGTGTCAGTGGCAGACACTACAGCATGAAGGCAGGACATTTGACAAGTTCTGTTGTATCAAATCTGTTTCTGTTTCATGTTGTTTAACTCACTCAGCAATATTCCAGCTATATGATGGTGGTCTGTCAATAAACGAGTCTGGATTACTTGCTCTTGTGGACTGATACAAGTTCAGCACAGACATAAAGCTCACCTGCTCAGGTGGACTGATACAAGTTCAGTACAGACATAAAGCTCACCTGCTCTTGTGGACTGATACAAGTTCAGCACAGACAAAGCTCACCTGCTCTTGTGGACTGATACAAGCTCAGTACAGACAAAAAACTCACCTGCTCTTGTAGACTGATACCAGTTCAGTACAGACAAAGCTCACCTGCTCTTGTGGACTGATACAAGCTCAGTACAGACAAAAAACTCACCTGTTCTTGTGGACTGATACAAGTTCAGTACAGACATAAAGCTAACCTGCTCAGGTGGACTGATACAATTTCAGTACAGACAAAGCTCACCTGGTCAGGTGGACTGATACAAGTTCAGTACAGACAAAGCTCACCTGCTCGTGTGGACTGGTGTTTTGCGAGGCGGAGCAGGCCAAGTTTTTTGAAGATGAAGCTGCTGCCGATGAAGATGCTTGAGCTGATGGCGAGGGACAGGCCGATGTAGAAGTCCCGCATATCCTGCTGTTTCTGCTGATAATCACTCGTCATGTTGCCTGTTGTGTTAACTGTTGTGTTCAGATCAGGACTTAGTGTCGTGATGCCAAACGGTGGCATAGATTCCTCAAGTACCTTATAGACAAACATACTTCTGTTAACACGGATCCAGACAAAATACCAGTCTTATAAAAAAAGTTTAAAAAAAGACATCTGATGAATACTCTGAATGAGTGAATGTTGTTTTATGCCAGTCAGCAATATTACAGCTATATCATAGCAGCCTGTAACACAACTGAAACTGCACCAGGCCAACCAATGGTTGACAGCATGAGCTTCAATCCACAGTTGGGGTAAGAAGACACATAATGGAAATGTTCATACATTGTGACCGTTTGATCCTCAATTTAGTCAGTTCAGGACAAGGTTGGTTGGTTGGTTTGTTGTTTAACGCCGCACTCAGCAATATTCCAGCTATATGAGGGTGGTCTGTAAATAATCGAGTCTGGACCAGACAATCCAGTGATTGACATCATGAGCATCGATCCACGCAATTGGGATCGATGACATACTTCAACCAAGTCAGCGAGACTGTCCACCCGATCCCATTAGTCGCCTTTTACGGCAAGCATGGGTTGCTGAAGACCTATTCTACCCCGGATCTTCACGGGTATTGTTAACAATAATTATTGTACAAATTCATTAATGAATAAATGAATCAACAGAAATTCTGCTGAAAGGAATACATTCAGGTGAAACGAAAGTAAAAAGCACAGAAACAGAAAGTAGGAAACACCACCACTGATAATGTGCTGCCTATAATCACTACCAGCTATACAGGACAACTATATTCTTCACACTAAGTAGTTCCACACATTCATTCCGTTCATCATGTTCTTGAACACCAGGAAGTACGAAATGAGCAAAACGGGAGCATCTTGACAAATTACCAGTTTTAGAGTGAATGAGTGAGTATGGCTTTACGCTGCTTTTAGCAATATTCCAGCAATATCACTGCTGGGGACACCAGAAATGGGCTTCACACATTGTACCCATGTATCGAACCCGGGTCTTCGGCATGACGAGCGAAGTGCTTTAACCACTAGGCTACCCGACCGCCCCACTAGTTTTAGATCACAGGACACTTTTACAGCATGTGCTCTCAGATTTGAGAGTGTTAGTGAGTTTAGTTAGGAAAGAAAGATAAGGTATCTTTCTCCCCACTTGAAACAGCAGCTTATAAACTAATGCCAAACTTTGAAACACTGTCACACGAGCTATATGGCATGTTAATATGACAGACAATGAAGGATTATTTGAGTCAGTATAAATGTTAGGGAACTGATTATGGAAACCGAAGCTGAGTTTTCAATCCTTCAAAGCAAATCCAACTATCTACATGCCCATGAAGACATAGTTCACGGATGGATTTCACACTCATTCTCTTCATGTGGCTTTTACGTACAGATAATGGTTCTTTTATCACTTGCTTGATAAAGGAGTTAAATATTGACTCAAATGTTGCAATCTTTATCGGTCGGTCTTCATTGATAGTACAGCATGTAAATACCACTCCAAGATATCATTTGTTGTTGTTGTTTGTTTGTTGTTTAACACCGCACTCAGCAATATTCCAGGTTTGTGACGGTGGTAAATAATCAAGTTGGAAGCAGACAATCCAGTGATTGACATCATGAGCATCAATCCAATCATTTGGAATACATTGACATGCATCAACCAAGTCAACGAGCCTGACCACCCGATCCCGTTAGTTGCCTCTTACTACAAGCATAGTCGCCTGTTACGGCAAGAATGGGTTGCTGAAGACCTATTCTACCCCGGATCTTCACAGGTCCCAAGATACGAACAAGTCAACGAATCAAGATGAATTTTTCACTCTTTGTCTTAAATACCATGGTACCTATCTCTCCCAAGTAAATCAGCTTAAAGAACTGCTCATGTTCAAATATTAGCAAAGCTTCCTAAATATCTCTAAAATCAGTCTTTTCGAAACACTTTTGTAGCCTCAAATCTTCATGGATGTTGCCGTACGTCATTAACATACAACACTGCAACAGAGTTAAGTCCATATTCAAACTGATAATTTTCATCATGACTTCTAAAGCAAATTATCATTCCTTAAATAACACAGATCAAGTGGGCCAAAAAGGGCCCTTGTTATACCACATCCTCTCAATTCAAACCAACAGCACTTGTCAGAGGTTTCAAAAGTTCAAATCTCGGACGACTGTTGACAACACTAAAACCAACAACCAGCCATGTTTATTCTGTCAAATATTTCAAAATGGATGAATAATGGAAACAATATTATTACTCATGTCACCATGCCGATTACCACATTTTTTTTGAAATTTTAAAAGACAAAAAAAGGATATTCTGTTTTATATCAAGTGAAGTATTCACACAATGTGAAAAGAGGAGATTAGTTTCAAGCTTCTAACATGCCTAATCCCACATCTTACACTCTTTAGTAACCGTTGTTGTTATGTTTTGAATAGTTTTGATGGTTGCAGACGTCACTTAAGTTACCGTATTCGACGTAATAAGCGCCCAGGGCACTCTCAAAATTAGAAACAGGGGGCTCTTATTAGAATATTATTTTTGTGAAAAAAAACAGATTTGAAAGATAAATTTCGTGGTTTATGCTGACAGACTGAAATGTTTATATACGATGGATATATTTTTTCAGAATTTAATTGCCCATAAATTAAGGGTGCATATAACACACGAGTGCGTATAATAAGTCTTGTGTACATTGATCAATCGGAAGGGGTGCTAATTGGGATTGTTCACTAGCCAATATATGAGCAATTATCGCTGTGGGGGCTTATTACGTCAATTACGGTAATAACTGTAATAGCGTCAACACAACATAGGAAACATAGTGTCAGTTTTGACAAATATCAACTGTCAAAGAGCTGCGATAAATCTGGTGACACTTCATACAGCAATACATCATTACGATGATATGTTGACAAGAACAATTAATTTCTAACGACATTGATGGATTGTCATCCCAAATCTGAACATATTTTTCAATTTGGTTATGATATATACGACTCAATTGAAGTTAAAAAACACCCAATTCTGTCATGTCAATATAGTTCATATATCGTGATAGATTAACTATAGTCTCATGAAAGAATCATATATCGCCAAATAATCAGGTTTTCTTCTCTCAAACTTCTTTTGAGTTGTAATAATCAAGTATGGAAGAATATCCCATCACAAACTGATAAAATCACGATTTTGTTTTGTTTGTTGTTCAACACTGCATTCAGCAATATTCCAGCTACATGATGGTGGTGTGTAAATAATAAATAAAGAGGCATTATGCTCAATGGTCTGTGGCCTATTTCCAGCCAAGAGGTGAGGTGAAACGGAGTAAATAATCAAACCTGGACCAGACAATCCAGAGGTTGATATTATGAGCATCGACCCATGCAACTGGGATCAATGACATGCATCAACCAAGTTAGTGAGCCTGACCACCCAATCCTGTTAGTCGCCTCTCACGACATGGGTTGAAGACTTATTCTACCCCAGATCTTCACGGGTAGGAAGAAATGCACAGGACTGGATGAATTGTCCTAATGCAGTGTTCTTCTTGCAATGCACCTATGTGGGAATCTAACCAGGCTTACAGCATGACAAGTGATTGATTTAACCCTAGCATGCTCTAAAAGTCTGTACATTCATATGCAGATGGGTTGCTGCGATCAACAGCATGAAGAGTTATTGTGACACATGCCGACAAATTTATAACTATGATGTTTTTGTGTGCTGTCAAGCATGACAATTACTTTCATACATCTGTGTACTCCGACTGCTTGGTATATGAGCTGTAGTCGTCTGTCGGTATATGGGCTAGTCAGTCTGTGGGTACCCTTGCAATATTCCTATGTATAATAGATAAGAACCTTTGAGTGTAACTGTATGTGTGTGTTTCTTTGTGGAAGTGTTTCTGTTTAAATGTTCGTACAAATCTTCAAGCAAAATGTTTACTGCCAAATATTTGTACAGTATAACCGACATCTTGTTTTTAATTTTAATGATTATCATGTTAAAAAAACTTTTTCTCCTGTACCACCATGGGTGCTTCTTTTTTTTGAGAAATAAATGATGAGGTACATCGCACAGTCAATCTGTGGGTAAATGGGATATAGTCAATCTGTGGGTATAAGGGATGTAGTCAATCTGTGGGTATATGGGATATAGTCAATCTGTGGGTATATGGGATGTAGTCAATCTGTGGGTATAAGGGATGTAGTCAATCTGTGGGTATATGGGATATAGTCAATCTGTGGGTACATGGGATGTAGTCAATCTGTGGGTATAAGGGATGTAGTCAATCTGTGGGTAAATGGGATATAGTCAATCTGTGGGTATATGGGATGTAGTCAATCTGTGGGTATATGGGATGTAGTCAATCTGTGGGTATAAGGGATGTAGTCAATCTGTGGGTATATGGGATGTAGTCAATCTGTGGGTATATGGGATAAAGTCAATCTGTGGATAAATGGGATATAGTCAATCTGTGGGTATATGGGATGTAGTCAATCTGTGGGTATATGGGATGTAGTCAATCTGTGGGTATATGGGATGAAGTCAATCTGTGGGTAAATGGGATATAGTCAATCTGTGGGTATATGGGATACAGTCAATCTGTGGGTATATGGGATGTAGTCAATCTGTGGGTATATGGGATACAGTCAATCTGTGGGTATATGGGATGTAGTCAATCTGTGGGTATATGGGATGTAGTCAATCTGTGGGTATATGGGATATAGTCAATGTGGGGTATGACATCAGGCTAATCAGGACTATGAATGGGTTTATAATGATGTCATGTGGATTGGCAGTCAAAGGCATAACACAATTCCACAATTAGGTTTGATACACTTACTCAACAGTGTTAGAAAGAAAGCATGATGCAAGAGGTCATTGTAAATGTTAACTGCTAAACATCCCGCGATTCAAACAGTGTCGAAATTAAGTTGGGCCTGGTGCCCATGAGGTCAACTTTAAACATTAGGGGTATATTATTGAACACTAAATTGCTAACTTTTAACCTTAGGGTCATGAAAAGGACCCTTGACTGTAATGCATAATTT